TATACTACCACCAGTCCAAGAACATTACGTACGTCATCCTCGATGCTCCCATCTTCCGTCAGCAAACCAAGGCCGATCCCTATATCGCTCGCATGGATGATCTTGAGAGTGCCATTCTATACTGTGCCTGGAACAGCTGTATTGCTGAGTCGATCCGCCGCTTCAACGTCGACATCTACCACATCAACGACTACCACGGCGCCGCCGCACCCCTCTACCTCCTCCCGCAAACTATCCCGGTCTGCTTGTCCCTGCACAATGCCGAGTTCCAAGGCATGTGGCCCATGAGAACCGAGGAAGAGCAAAAGGAAGTCTACAGCGTCTTTAACCTCCCGCCCAAGGTCGTCAAGGACTACGTCCAGTACGGTTCGGCCTTCAACCTCCTGCACGCTGCCGCCAGCTACCTCCGCATCCACCAGCGCGGTTTCGGTGCCGTTGGTGTGTCCAAGAAGTACGGTGATCGCTCCCTGGCCCGTTACCCCATCTTCTGGAGTTTAAAGAACATTGGTCAGCTGCCGAACCCCGATCCCTCTGATACTGGCGAATGGAATCCCGACGAGGACATCTCCAACGCCCAGGATGAGATCAAGATTGATGAGACGTTCGAGGCCAACCGAGCTACTCTGCGGAGACAGGCTCAGGAGTGGGCCGGTCTTGAAGTCAACCCGAACGCCGATCTCTTCGTCTTTGTCGGTAGATGGAGTTTGCAAAAGGGTGTGGACTTGATTGCCGACCTTTTCCCCAGCATTCTCGAGAAGTACCCCTCTGTCCAGCTTATCGCCGTCGGCCCCGTTATCGACTTGTACGGCAAGTTCGCGGCCCTGAAGCTCAACAAGCTCATGGAGAAGTACCCTGGCCGTGTCTTTAGCAAGCCCGAGTTCACTCAGCTGCCTCCCTATATCTTCAGCGGTGCCGAGTTTGCCCTCATTCCTTCTCGTGACGAGCCCTTCGGTCTGGTCGCCGTCGAGTTCGGTCGTAAGGGTGCCTTGGGTGTTGGTGCCCGTGTCGGTGGTCTCGGTCAGATGCCCGGTTTCTGGTACACCGTCGAGTCCATGAGCCCCACCCATTTGCTCCAACAGTTCAAGCAGGCCATTGCCTCTGCTCTCAGCTGCAAGCCCAGAAAGCGAGCCCTCATGCGCGCCTGGAGCGCCAAGCAGCGCTTCCCCGTCGCGCAGTGGATCAGACAACTCGACACGCTCTACAACGAGTCAATCAAGATCCATAACAAGGAGGCTGCCAAGCAGAAGAAGGCCGGCGGCGTCCGCAACCTGACCGACTCCTCGTTGAGGTCAAGCGTCGCCGTCAGCGAGTATGGCTCAGAACTCACACCTACTGGCTCAAGAGCCCCATCCCCTCTCCCCCCTCCGAGCCGGATTGCCAGCCCGGCGGGCCGCATCAACTCGCCTGATCTGGGCACACCCAACATGCCGTGGAGCACCATACCGTCTTCGCGCCGCGGCTCCTTCTCGAGCTCCATCAATGGCCGCGACAGCATGCTCGCACCCCGCGAAAGCATGTTTGCCACCGGTCGTGAGAGCATGGTCAGTGTGGACAGCTTTGCCATGCGCGCCCAGCACGACTCTCCCCAGACCCCCGGCTTCGATGGCCTTGGCCTGCCTCAGCCGAGCTTCTACAAGCAGCAGCGCAACAGCTCCCAGCTGTCTTTGCCTGATGTCGTTGGTGACCGCCACGACCTGAAGCTGCAAAACGTAGACCAGAACTTCACCGATAAGAATGGCGAATTTTACGCCGAGTTCGAGCAGATGCTCAACAGTCTGACGGCCAAGAACTCGGGCACTGACCTCTGCATTGAAAACTTCCTCAAGAAGAGTGAGAAGAAGTGGTTCGCCAGATACCGTGACGCCAAGCTTGGCCGAAGAGACCACAGCCGTTCGAGGAGTCCCGCACCCAGCCGCCCGGGCTCAAGCAAGGGTCTCGGTGCCACCTTTGACGGAGACCGTGGTCGCAGCCGCACACCAAGCGGCCTCACCGCTGGCTCCCACTACGATGACAGCCCCGTTGACGACGAATTCCTGTTGGGTGACAACTACAACGCGCCCACTGGTCTCAAGAAGTGAGCTCGCCCTACCTATTGTACGTTTGCAGAGAAGGCTAACCCGCTCTAGAATCCTGTCCATCCGCATTGGTGACTGGCCCGTCTACGCCTTCTTCCTCTCTTTCATGCAGGTCATCTCCATCAACTCGTACCAGATCGTCCTCCTCACGGGCGAGACCAACCAAACTCCTTCCAAGCTGTACATTGTTGCCGCGACCTACCTCGTCACATCCATCTTGTGGTGGGTCTTGCTCCGCTTGACCAAGTCCGTCTACGCTCTGTCGCTCCCTTGGGTCTTCTTCGGCATGGCCTTCTTCCTGCTTGGTGTGTCGCCTTATCTCGAGCCCTGGCAGAGCCGCGCTGCCATGCAAGATGCCGCCACCGCCCTCTACTCGGCTGGCGCCAGTGCCGGTGCTCTGTCTTTCGCGCTCAACTTTGGTGACGAAGGTGGCGCCCCGACGAAGCAATGGATTACTCGCGCTCTTTCTGTTGCCGGTGTCGCTCAGGTGTACTCTCTGATGCTCTGGTACTGGGGGTCTCTTACCCACACCCCCGAGACGTCCCCGATGTCCTTCTTTGACGGCACCACCATCCCCAAGGCTTTGGTCATCTGCGTTCCCATCGCCATCATGCTTTGGGCCATCGGTGCAATCCTCTTCTTGGGTCTCCCCGACTACTACCGCCAGGCACCAGACAACATTCCCGGCTTCTACATTTCGCTCGTCCGCCGCAAGCTTGTCCCGGTCTTCTTCATCATGATCATCATCCAGAACTACTGGCTGTCGGCTCCCTACGGCCGCAACTGGCAGTTCCTCTTTGCGTCGCAGTTCATCCCTGGGTGGGGCGTCGTCCTGCTCGCCCTCGGCTTCTTCGTTGTCCTCTGGTCCATCATCCTCTACGTCTTCTCCTTCTTCTCCGAGAGCCACACCTGGCTTCTTCCAATCTTCGCCATCGGCCTGTGCGCTCCTCGCTGGGCGCAGATGCTCTGGGGTACCAGCAGCATGGGCATGTACCTCCCCTGGGCCGGCGGCCCTGTTGGTTCGGCCATCCTTTCCCGCTGCCTCTGGCTCTGGCTCGGCCTCCTGGACAACATTCAGGGTGTCGGCCTGGGTATGATGCTGCTGGCTACGCTGACGCGCCAGCACGTGCTGGCCGTCCTCATCGGAGCGCAGGTCGTCGGCAGTGCCTTCACGATGCTAGCACGCGCGACGAGCCCCAACGCCCTGTCGCCCAACACGACCTTCCCCGACTTCTCCCAGGGACTGATGCCCGGTATTTCAAGTTGGTGGTTCTGGATCTGCCTGGGCTTCCAGCTAGTGATCCCCGTCTTGTTCTTCAAGTTCTTCAGAAAGGAGCAGGTGTCAAAGCCGTAAAAGAGGCGCCATGCAAGAATGTGCGATGCGAAGCAAAAAAATACCCGGAGGCGCGGCTACAGAGCCGCGCCTCTTGTCATGTTTGGTCTTGGGGGATCCAGGGAGAGAGGATGGGCGGCATCGGTTCTCTCTCCTCCCCGATTTATGAACATTTTGGTTGTATAATGATTCATAACTTTCTTCATGTTTTATATACACATGGCTCTTTGTCCTCCCTCTCGCCAGCTAGAGGAAGCAAAAGGCGTTTGTACCTAGCCACGAAACAAATAGGGAAAAGGGCAAAGGAAAGGAGGGGGCGCAGGTGGCGGCGATAAAAAGGGACATTTGGCTGTCCTTGTCGCAATTGTTTCTATCCCTCTTTTTCTGTCTTATATAAACCCACACTCACTTTTCCGAGCTGAGGCGGCGGGCAGGAGGATCTCTGACGGCACAAACACAACTGCCCGTGGAAAACCCATCATTTAGATTTTAGACTCAGCTATGTCGCTCTTTTTTTTCACAATCATGAATAATAACTTTGCAACCTTATGACACTGTTCCTCTCCAGGTGACGCCTAATTGCATTTGAGGGAATATGCTCGTTCTTATGTCCTCTCCCTAGAGAGTGACGACGATGAACAAAGAGACAGAGAGGCCTTCTGGGGTGGGATAATGTAGGGGAACTGAGTCTGCTTTGTAGCCCGGTGCCGACATGTTTTTTCTTCTTCGGTAGCTACTACCGATAGCTCTGGAGAAACGCCTTTCTTGAGCGTCCCGGAGAGTGTGAGATTGATGTAAAGCGCGGCAAGCATCCTTGGGGGGGGGGGGGGGTTAAGTGAAGGCACTTTGGATACACCGTACCCCCTTTCCCGTCCCTTGGGCGACTGACTGGCTTGATTCGAGCTTTTGCGAGCGGTAGAACGGTCCCGGCAATGTGAGCGACTTATGCGGCTCCCCGTTTACACCCGAAATTTTAACGGAGATGTCACCATGTCGGCAGCTCGTGCGATGATTGTTCTCTCCATAGAAGCCGTTCCCACCGCTGTTCATCCGTGGGGAACGGAACCTTCCCCTCCTTTCGGGCGGGAATAAGCATAAAAGCCAAGGACCGGTCTCCTCACGAGCGGATCTTCTTGTGCACAGAGGCCCGCACGTAGATCATCAAGTCTTGGCTAGTGCCTTCGCACCGCAGAATACGAGATTAACGGGCTAATAGACCAAACTCAAGATGGCAGGTCGGTGCAAGCAAGGCGCATGGGGATGGAACGATGATCAGAGGTGGACCGGAATTGTTTGGCTTCGGCGGTAAGGTCGCTTCGGGGGTGGAGATGCCACTGGCAGGACTGCCTAAAGGGGACAAGAAGCCAGGGTCCGTAAGTTCGTCGCGCGTACCAGGGCATCGACTTCAATACGAGATGGTCAACGGATCATGGCATCGCGGAAGGCATCCCCAGGCCCCCGGCATTGCGGGTTGTAGGCCGCAGAGGCTCATTAAAAGATGTTTGGCGCCCGGCGAACAATAGCAATGAAGAGAACAAGTCATCGGCTCTCGTCTCGAGTCTCGACATTCCGCCCTCGTTCATTGTTCGACTATGCGTGTCGCGAGTGCCCTGGTCTCCGTGTTGGCGTTGGCCGGCACGGGCGCCGCCAAAGTCTCTCGGCGTGCCGCCGACGAGGACGTCCGCCCGTCCGACGATACCGTCGTCGCGCCCAAGAAGTTCATCCTTGAGCTCGAGCAGGTATGCAAAACTTAGCGAGACCGATCCCCGAAGGGGGGGGGCAAGACGCTAAACATCCCGCAGGGAGCCAACAAGGACGCCGTGGTCCAGCACCTCCAGACCATTCCTGGGAGCAAGGTTCTCAAAGTCTTCGACTCGTCCGTCTTCAGGGGCATCGCCGTCGAGTCCGACAGCGAGAACACGGACTCGCTCGAGGCGCTCGTGCCCGTCGTCAAGGCGTGGCACTCTACCCGCATCCAGCTCGCCCCCGTCGTGACCGGGGAGTCGTTCAGCGACGACGCCAAAGCGCTCAACTACTCAATTCACTGGATGACGGGCGTCGATAAGCTCCACGAGCAGGGTATTCTTGGGAAAGGCGTCAAGGTCGGGGTTGTCGACACCGGTACCGACTACACTCATCCAGCCGTAAGCTCCGCCCCTCTGCGTGCTTTGGTAGACTGCTGGCTAATCGGTTATAGCTTGGAGGCTGCTTCGGAGAGGGCTGCAAGGTTGCTTCTGGATATGATTTTGTGGGCGACAACAGTAAGCTGAACATAGAATACCAAAGAGAAACGGCGACTGACTACATCAGATAACTGGCCCTACCCCGGCGAGGAGAGACAGCCCGATGCGGACCCCCTTGATTCCATCGGCCATGGCACCCATGTTTCCGGCATCATTGCCGGTAAGAGCACGGAGTGAGTCTGCTATCCACAAAGGTCAAGTGAGTCCTGACTTACTCTCTCGTCAGATTCACAGGGGTCGCGCCTCAAGCCACCATCTATTCTTACAAGGTCTTCGGGCCCTCGGTAATAATTGCTCGCCCACAACGAACGATGGTCTCTCCCACTAACTCTATTCTGTTGAATAGGAAGGTACCAGCGAGGAGGTCTTGATCGAGGCGTTCCTTCGCGCCTTTGACGACGGCGTCGACATCATCACGGCCTCCGTCGGCTCCACCGGCGGCTGGTCCGACAACGCCTGGGCACTCGTCGCCTCCCGCATCGTCGAGCAAGGCGTCGTGGTCACCATCGCCGCCGGCAACTCGGGCGAACTCGGCGCCTTCCTTCCCAGCAGTGGCGCCGCCGGCAAGGAGGTCCTTGCCGTGGCCTCCGCCGACGCCTACATCGTCTCGGCCCGCCAGTTCGCCGGCACCTTCAACCTCGATGGCCAGTCTAACCGGACCATCCTCGGGTACCGTCCCGCCCAGGAACAGTTCCCCGCCGAGATCGTCGGCTGGCCCATCGTCCCCATCACGCTCGACATCAACGTCGAGAACGACGCCTGCCAGCCGCTGCCTGAAGGCTTGAACTTCACCGGGACGATTCCGCTCGTGCGGTTCGATGAGGGGTGCGATGATTACATCAGGCAGAGATGGGTCCAGGAGCGAGGCGCCAAGTTCATGCTCTTCTACATGACAGACAGGCCCATTCTCGGGTTTTCCGGCGTCGGCTGGGCTCAGAGCAGATGGGGTCTCCTCTCCAAGGACGCCGGCGAGGCCATCGTGAAGACCGTCATCGCCGGCGGCAACGTCACCGCCGACTTCTCCCTGGACCAGAACAACAACTACGTCGCCATGTACAACGCCGGCGGCGGGAAGCCCTCTCGGTTCACCTCCTGGGGTGGCACCTTCGACCTCGAGCTGAAGCCCGACATCACCGCCCCCGGAGGCAGGATTTTCGCCCCCTTCCCCGGGAATATCTACCGCGACCTCTCGGGCACCTCCATGGCCTGCCCCTACGTCGCCGGCGTCGCCGCACTGTACATTGGCGCTCACGGCGGCCGCTCCACGCACGGCGCCGGCTTCGCCAAGGCCCTGCACGCGCGCATTGTTGCCTCGGGCCGGGCAATTCCCTGGTCCGACGGAACCAACAAGGACTTTGGCTTCTGGGCCCCTCCCATCCAGGTCGGGAGCGGCCTTATCGACGCCGTCTCAGTGCTCAATGCGACTTCGCAGCTTTCGGGCGAGACAAAGTTCGCCCTCAACGACACGCACCACTTTTCGCGGTACCACCAGGTCGACATCACCAACACCGGCGCTACGGAGCTCGAGTACGTGTTTCAGGTGCAGGATGCCGCCGGATTCGAATCGTACTGGACCGCGGACGCTGCGGACGCCGGCATCAATCTCGTCCCTCGTATCAAGGATCTCGTCGAGATCGAGCCATTTAAGATCGGCACCCCCGTGAGCGTGCCTTCAGGCTCGTTCAAGATCGGGCCTGGTCAGACCAAGACTGCAAAGTAGGGTTCCCCTAACGACCGTCCCGGGGTCGGTAACGAGCTAACGTGCTTTCCAGGTTCTCTTTCGACATCCCGCAGGGTCTAAACGCCACGAGACTGCCTGTCTTCGGCGGCAAGATCCTCATCGGCTCCAGCTCCGGCGATGTGCTTTCTGTGCCCTACTATGGTGCGGCTCGGTCCCTCCGCTTTGACTCGACCGTTGCTAACCATCCCACCCGCAGGCGTCGGCGGAAGCGTCGAGCACAGTATCGTAGACATGTACTACACGTCCTTGGGATACCCCCGTGCCGTTTCTGGCGTTAACCGAACATCGCTGTCCGACAAGTCGAGGTAGGCTCCCGATATCCCGTGCTGAGGACCACACCATGACTGACCCGGGATGTTCAGCTTCACTTTCGACCTCTCCCTCGAGAAGCAAGATTTCGTCAGACTTCAAGTCGCATTGACTTGGGGAACTCGCGAACTGCGCTGGGATGTAAGCGCTTGTCTTCCCTCCCCCGTACCCGCCTCGCAGCCGGAGAGTTGCTGACGCAAACCCTTGTAGATCTTCCAGTCCAGCTACCAGGAGCGTGAATGGGTCTACCCGCCGGTCGTTGGCCAGAACAAGTACGTCGGCTCCGTAGCAGGCTTCGATGTCTACAACAGCGTCAACTATCCCGTCTTCGACCCCGCCACCGACAGCGTCAACAACACCATCTCCTTCCCGCTGAAGGACCGGCCCCGCGACTCACCCTACGAGTCGTGGTGGCTTGGGAAGCTGGCGGACGGGAGCCAGATCAAACCTGGAAAGTACAGGTCAGCAGACCCCAGACGCCGTCTCATAGTGGTTTACGATGCTAACTGTTACGGCCAGGTGGCGCTTCGCCGCTCTCAAACCGTTTGCTAACCCCAAAGCGTCGGACAACTGGGATATCTTCGAGACCCCCGAGATTGAGGTCCTGCCACTCACCGGAGGCAACTCCACAGCCTCTCTCCGTCACCGAACGCTATCGAGATAGATGCTGCTCGTTCCGCTCCGTAGACCAGTGATAAATCTAGCTCCTTTTTTCTCTGCAACGTGTGTGTGTGTGCCTATCGTCCAACAATATCACTCCATCGCCACCAGTTCGTCTGTGGCCGTCTCGGGCCTCTTGCCGTCCTTGTGCTCGTCCTTGCCGAAAATGCCCTTCTCATCGAACCAGTTCACGTCCTGCTCGAGCGCGTGCTTTGCCAGCCTGTACGCCTCCTTGTTCTCCTTCTTCGGCACCTGCCAGAACTCCACCGCCACGCCCAGCTTGCCCAGCGACATCATCGTGAGCATCAGGTTGTCCCACAGGTCCTCGTTCTTGACCTTCTCCCCCTTGGTGTTCTTCCACCCGTTGGCCAGCCACTTCTTCATGTGCGGCGGCTCCCCGCTCCGCCCGCCCGCCACGCCCTCCACCAGGTACGCCGAGTCGCTCTTGACCACGACGAGGTGCAGCTTGAACGGGGCCGGCGCCCTGCCGGCCCCGCGCGGGGACGGCAGCCCCTGCTGCGCGAGCCGCGCTGCCTCCATCAGCCCCGCGATCGCGGCATACAAGTCGGCGCGCTGCTGCGTGTGCTGCGGGCGGTCGCGGCTGTCGCTGCCGTCCGTGTCGCGCATGACGTGGCCGCGGTCCGCCGCGTCCGGGATGCGGCAGGCGCGGTTGGCGATGTTGTTAGGGCCGAGGTAGACGCCGACGGCGGACCTCATCGGCGGCTGGTCCGGGCTGTTCTGAGGGGGACAGACGCCGTGGACGGCGACGACGAGGGAGTCGGTGTGGCACGAGGGCTTCTGGTCCGCCGCGGCGTGGCAGCGGACGTGGAGGAGGCTGAAGTGGCCAGTGCCGCCGGGGATCTCCAGGTTGGTGGGGTTGTCGCCGTAGACCGCGACGTGGTCGGTCGGAAAGCGGCGGACGACGTAGCCGTCCGAGTCTGGCTCGACGAGCTGACCGATGCGGTGGGGGGTGTGGGGGTCGTGCTTCTGCTGTGCGCGACTCATTTTGGCGACGGAGGAGGAGGTGCAGTAGGGGCCTCTGGTGAGATCAAGTTGGTGTACCCGCGAGCCCCTGTCTCTTTTGCAGTGATATATAGGTGGGCGGGTGAGACGGCCGAGTGTGTGCAACAATGGCGGTGATTGAGGCTGATGAGTGTAGTGGAGAGGTGATGACAGTGAGAGGTTGAAAACTCAGGTACATCTTACAATCGATAAGTCATCTACCCCCCCTCGGATTTTCACGGGCCCCGGGGTGTTCCCTTCTGTCGTCTCATACAAGTCTTTGCTGAGTGATACCCAAGGGGAGAGGGGGAGGAAAAGGGAGTCGTCGGTGAATTTGTGTCATCAATGGTTCATTTAGAATACCGAAAGCCAATAGGGCGTTCGGCCTTTTCGGTGCTTGCTGCGGGCGATCGGTACCGTGGCGATCGGAGCCGGTAGTGGGGAAAGTGGGGATCACGGCACACTGACGGCCGCCCGGTCTTGCTGGCTGAGGATGGTATGCATCGAGGTCCTCCAGCATTCCTTGACGGAGGAGGACGCCCGTTGGTCAATAAGTTGAAGTATGTTTACACACAGAAGCAATACTCCCTATCCAATATCAAGTATATCCGATATGGGCGCGACTTTTGTACATGGTCCCTGGCTTCTTCCCTGTCCTTCTCAAGAGAAAGCGAATTATCACTGGCACATACCTCTTTCGCGATAAACAGCAGCTTAGCTGTAACTTAAGAGCGGCTCCCAGTTGGAAGTGCCTGTTGTTTTGTAAACGAGACGGAATGCGGAATCCTGCAAGCAACAACACGGTATGCAAAAGCATGAATGACATGTGTAAGGCCTTGATCGATGTTCGCTAGTAATCCCGGCAGTCTATTTACTAATCAAGCACTCATTATACACGGTTTCGTCCAATTTCTAGTTCTGCATTCGCCGGCGACATGGCATTAGTCGCTGTATAGTATCCTGGTCAATCCCGCCTTCCTTTGAGGCGTTTCCTTCCTTGATTCCTCGTTCTCCAATTAATTCAAGTTAGTAACCAACTTGCTCCAGTCAAACGGAAGAAACTTATAAATCTTCCCCTTTCTATCGTCAGATACGCAGCACTCCACCCTCAGACAATCGCCTATGCCCTTGTGGTCCTCACAGCCGTCGCCTTTGAGGGCCTCGGCCTGCTGTCCTGCCTCAACGTTGACTTCCCGCAGCGCTTGAATGATGCAGTAAGTCGAGCCAGGTCTCGAGTACTCCAAGAAGGCGTCAAACCCGGGTGTACCTCGCTGGGTGCTCAGTAGAGGAACGAGCTCGAGGAAGATGGACTTGTAGGTCGGGGAGTTTTCGCTTTCGGGGTCCTGAACAACGTCGAATCTGTTTAGATTGGATGTCAGTCTGGTGAGTCGGCTCTGCCAGACATGTGTGAGTGGGACGTCCTCAGAGACGGATATTTTGCGACCTCTCTTGCGCGCTGTTATCTGCAAATCGAGGGGCTGTGACGACTGCAGACTATTGATGGCCTGAAGGATCTCGCTATGCTTCTTGTCGCTCTGAGTGTTGCTGTCATCATGACCTTTCGAGGCGTCAATGTGGAGGTCGGCCATTTTGTCCTCCAGCTTCTTGAGTCTAGCCTGGGTTGCGCTTAACTCATCCCGGAGGCCGGCGTTCTCTGCCTGAAGGCCGCCCTTCTCTGCCGCGTTCGTCAGCTGAGTGACTCTGAAGCCCTGCAGCTCTTGGTACAGGGTCTCTTTCTGCTCTTTCTCCGTGACTATCCGGGCCTCGATGAGTGTGTTCTGGTACTTGATGTCGTGCAGCTCCAGGCGGAGGTCTTGGTTCTGCTTCTTCTCGCGCACTAGCTCGGCTTCCAACTCGCTCCGCTTTTCCACTTCGGCCTGGAGCTTGGTATCAAGCATGTCTTTCTTGTGGGTTTCGGACACACCAACTTGTCGAACGACTTCGAGGGTTTCCACCAGATTTCTCGCCTTGTGAAGGGCGGAAACTACCAGATTTATGTTGGGGCCATAGTCCTGATTGGTCTCAGCAGACTGTATCGACGAGAACCGAACGACGGGCTGGCCAGAATCTGGTGTGGTATATGGAGACGTCAAGATTCTTGGCGTCTGCTGGCTTGGATTTTTCTGGTTCAAGCGCGTCTGGGACAAATTGGACAGTGCGGGCGAGTGATAGAATGAGGATACGGGCATTCTCGTGGCCCGAGGTTGTTGGATGTCGAGTGGCTGTATGATGTGGCCATGTCTATCGTTGGGACTTGAGGCGAGGCGCTGGATGACCGTTGGATGGAAAGGTGAGCCGAAGGGCGTGGCGTTTGAGACATCGTAGTTACAGATCCCGTCTGGCTGGGGGGCGTCAAGAGGTTTATCGACTGTTTGGTCAAAAGTACCCAAGTCGGACGGTTCGCTTCGGATGGCAGGCGTTTGCTGGCTCTCTCGACTCTCTCTGTTGGTTCTTCGCGGGTCGATGCCGAGGCTTTCTCCTCTGCCCCCTTCCTCCAGTCTATTTACTTCCATTCTGGGCTGGACTGTGATTATGCGTAAGAGGGACTCGGAATCGGAGACAAACAGAAGAAGGTTGGAAAGAAACAGATGGATCGATGAGATTTCAAAGACTTGTTGGGACGGGTGGAGAGCAAGTAGAATCTTCACCTCAATTTCTTTCAGCACACAACCTAAATCACATGACCGTTCTTAGTTATATTGGTCCGTCTTTTGGTTCATACGTGCGGCATGCGAGGGGCTATGTTATAGAGTACAGTCTTTGGAAATGTGACCGGTATCTTGCATGGATGTTAAAAGCTTCAAGACTTGTGAAGGTGGTGGTAAGTGTCAAATCCAGTCACGCTAGGCGCTTTGCTTGAAGGCTGCAGTAAATGATGTGTTTTTGAGCCCAGTATACTTGTTCTAGATTGGGAGGCCTTATCTTGCTTGTCGTCTAACAGGATGAAGAATTGAAGAGTTACAGAGTAGAATTGAAAGTCCTACTGCTTTGATTAATCAATTCGCTCAAAGACTGAGAGGGAAGGATGGTTAAAACAAAGAAATCGTTTCGTATCCAGCCGCTAAAACCACATCATCAATGAGTACTTGAACCATTACAGCCTGTATCCATTAACAGGGTGTCAGACGCAGTGCGTCATGTCCCTTGCGGCAGTGTTAAGAGCAAACGGAAACATATTGGCGATAGCCAAGAGAATCCTGATAGAAAACTTCGGCAATCGCTGGAATGTGTGGAGAAACCCTTCTTCCCATGCTGTTAGTCACAGTGTACCCAGCTTTATGTGGAACAATTCTCTCCCAGGGAACTTACCAACACTGTCGGAGAACAGGCTAGCTATGAACCCATGAAGTTTACTGAGACTTATGTCTGAGGTGCCTGACGCACTAAGGATGTTTCTTACAGCGGCAACGTCATCGTGCTTCACGGCCTATCATATCATCGCCGCACAAATACATGGGGTATGTTTCAGTAAGAAAGCTCATTAGTCCATATGCAGCCATCCAACATATTCCTCTCCTCGTGGTAGATAAGGCTTTCTCGAGTCGAATCGCGTATAGCCCCGTGAACGCAGTGGATGAGCAGTGTGTGTTCTACGGATGATGTAAGTAGGAAAAGTTCAGAACCCAAACTTGCGAGGTTCGAGTTCCGAGAAACCGGAGTTTTCTGGGCTTTCCGCCAGTTTACCCCCCTCCGCTCGGCTACTGCGATGGGCTAGGAACGCCTTTGACCATTTATAGAGTCTCTCGTTGCCCGGTAATGACACCCGAGTTTCCAAAGGCGGATGCGTGAGGATGCGGGTTTCCGGGCCGGCAAGTAAATGTGCTCGGAAAAGAATGCATGCTTGCCTCCAGAGCCATTACTAGGTGGAGAGGGACTAAAGGTCATGAGGTTCCGACCATCTGCCAGTAGAGTATCATTAACGGTCTCCGGCTTGCACTGAACCAAAATTCTAATAACAGGAATCACGGGGTATCATTGTAACGAAGTTCTCTAAAGCCATTTCTCGGCCTTGTTGGGCATCAACCTTCTGAGCACATCAATCTGCCGCGCTTGCGCCTTGTGTTTCAAGTCTGTAACTCCTCGTCTGTCGGTTCGTCGCTGACCGTTTGAGTACACAACTGTGTAGTCTGGTATCTTCTCGCCAGATTTTATGACGGTCGATGGTGATATCGTGCAATTCTATGGCGGTCAGCATCCGAGCTCGTTGGAGAAACGTTACACGAACCTTGCCAATAACAGCGCCGCTCCCTATCCGGGAGCGAACGCCAATTACGGTATCTGTCCCAATCTCTGTGCCTCCTGCTTCAATGACCGAGCCAACTTCTACCGTCACGTAGTCTCCGAGCGAAAGGCCTCCACCGGTAATGTCGTTGCCAACCGCGCCAACATGAGCTCGCTCGTGGATGATGCATCTTCGACCGATGAGGATACTACCGTTGGTCGACTCCAGCTTCGATCGCGGATGCAAGACGCTTTCCGATTGAATTGTGATGGAGTGCGTTCCCATGAGAATGGCGCTGTCGGCGACGGTGAGGGAGGAAGAGAAGTTGACTGGCGGTCGCGGGCCGGTGCTGGATACAGCGGGCAGCATAGAATGCCGCTTGCTGGACGACATTGTGAAGTGTGATTTGGGTTGCCCCGCCCCTAAAGAGTTGCTATCCAGAAGGTATAGTACATTCTTGAAGATGATCGCAACGCGGGGCCAGGTCTTTGTAGATTGTCCGACGTACGACGCGCAGCGGTGTTAGTGATCGGGGAGCTTGACGTGAGGCATCGCACCAGTCGCCGTTGCTCAGTCTCTGGAGCCGGTCTAGCACATAGCCCCGGTTGATGCATCAAACCGAGTCACGTGATACGGTCCTGCTGACTAACGACCCGCATTGGCCAATCAACGCTAATTGGAAATAAGCATCATCGATTGTGCAGCAGAGCTTCGTTCCCACGACGGCGAATTCATCCGACCGACACCCTCCATCCACCACCAATCCCCCCACAAACGCCCACGATGGCCACTCCACGGCGGTTGCCCGCGCAGGCCGCGCAGGCTGCGCGAAACTACGCAACGGTACGAACATACGGCGGCCTGAAGGACCAGGACCGCATTTTCCAGAACCTCTACGGCCGGATGCCCCCGACGCTGGCTTCTGCGAAGAAAATGGGCGATTGGCACAAGACGAAGGAGATCATTCTCAAGGGACACGACTGGATCATCAGCGAGGTCAAGGCCTCCGGTCTCCGTGGCCGTGGAGGTGCCGGTTTTCCTTCAGGATTGAAATGGGTAGGTTGACACCCCACGTCTGAGTTATTGCCGCGGCAATCAAGGGAAGGGATGGGACAACGGGCTAACGCAGATGGCATCCGCGCAGTCGTTCATGAACTTCAAGGATTGGGACAAGGACGATAAGCCGAGATACCTGGTCGTCAACGCCGATGAGGGTGAGCCCGGAACCTGCAAGGACCGCGAGATCATGCGAAAGGACCCCCACAAGCTTATCGAGGGATGCCTGGTTGCTGGTCGGGCCATGAACGCCTCCGCCGCCTACATCTACATCCGCGGCGAGTTCGTCCACGAGGCCGCCGTCCTACAGAACGCCATCAACGAGGCCTACAAGGACGGCTTGATTGGCAAGAACGCTTGCAACTCCGGATACGACTTTGACGTCTTCATCCACCGCGGTGCCGGTGCCTACGTCTGCGGTGAGGAGACCTCCCTCATCGAGTCCCTCGAGGGCAAGCCCGGAAAGCCCCGTCTCAAGCCGCCTTTCCCCGCCGCCGTCGGTCTCTTCGGTTGCCCTTCGACTGTCGCCAACGTCGAGACCGTTGCCGTTGCCCCTACCATCTGCAGACGTGGTGGCAACTGGTTCGCGGGTTTCGGCCGCGAGCGTAACCAGGGCACCAAGCTCTTCTGCATCTCTGGCCACGTCAACAACCCCGTCACCGTCGAGGAGGAGATGTCGATACCCCTGCGCGAGCTGATCGACAAGCACTGCGGCGGTGTTCGTGGCGGCTGGGACAACCTGCTGGCTGTCATCCCCGGTGGCTCTTCCACCCCGATCCTCCCCAAGAACGTCTGCGACAACCAGCTCATGGACTTTGACGCCCTGAAGGACAGCCAGTCCGGTCTTGGTACCGCCGCCGTCATTGTCATGGACAAGAGCACCGACGTTGTCCGCGCCATCAGCCGTCTCTCCCACTTTTATGCCCACGAGTCCTGCGGTCAATGCACGCCCTGCAGAGAGGGTAGCAAGTGGACCGACCAGATCATGAAGCGCTTTGAGAAGGGTCAGGGCCGGCCACGTGAGATTGACATGCTTCAGGAGCTCACCAAGCAGGTCGAGGGCCACACCATTTGCGGTATGTATTCGTCATGACGTAAGCGACTCTTAACACTAACGTATTGTTTTCTAGCTCTTGGTGAGGCTTTTGCCTGGCCCCTGCAGGGTCTCATTAGACATTTCCGTCCCGAGCTTGAGAAGAGAATGGAGGAGTACGCCGCCCAGAACGGCGGTGCCAACGCCTTGGGCGGTGGCTGGGCGCCCGATTCCCGGGCCCAGGGCAAGTTGGTTTCGCCAGGACAGTAGAAGGCTGAGATGTTGCATGCTTGTAGACTGGCGCCTGGGGGCTTGTATATATTAGTATCGTACATTAGCATAGCCCTAAATGTGCCGGAGTTCATTTGTTCACGATAATCCCGTATTCACTTTTGGGATTGATGACTAATTGATAGTGAATCGACGCAGGACGTGGCGGGTAGAGTCCCAAGGATACGTTGTGTGGCCAAACGCCACGAATGCATCATGTCTTGGAAAGCATGGCTAATCTGTGGTTCATTTCCGTCCGTTCCTGGCAAAGCCTCGATTTCGGCGTTAAGCCGCAGAATGCTTACCCAATGAGGCCATTGGATTTTTTCAGCTTTTGCTCGCTCCCCCCCCCCCCCGTCCTGCAGCTAGGATGTGTCTCTCTCGGCCCACAGATCCGACTTCCGCTGGACCCGGTCGGTGAACCTCGGACGGCGGCGGGGGGTTTCTTTTCACCACGACCACCGAACGCCCGAACCCCCCTTCGACCGCCCGTCTCTCCCAACAACCAGTCCTCGGCCAGTGGGAATATTGACAGTCGGCGCTTCAGTCCGCTTTATCCTTATTTTCTGGTTCCGACGCGCGCGAGTGTTTCTTATCTGTTGTTCTCGGTGGAAATATCTTCGGACATGACTTCTTTCAAGTATGACCAGTTTGTAGCATTCGGGTCCGACAGCGGTTAGTAGAGTAACATCCTCCTCCTTGCTTTTGTCCTCACACACACATACTCGCCTCGTCTTGTCGCGACTTTTTTTTCCCTTCCGGAAATGACGTCCAGTCCTTATCTTCTTCTACCTCCCGAGCTGTTCATGGACTGCTCGCAGTGAGCGCGCGTTTTCTCACTCATGTCACACCGCCCACTCTCACCTCCAAATACTGATGGGACTACAGCCGGGCTCGAGCGTATCCTGCGCGGCCTCCAAGCACTCACCATAATCTTCAGCGCGTACCCATCCCTCATATCCCTCATCCTCTTGACCTCGGACTCGCCCCTCCTCGAGGCCCTCGGCCCGCTGAAGGGTCACCTGAACCTGACGCGCCGCTTCATCCGCTTCTTCTGGTTCCTCAACTCCCTGGGCACGTCGTACAACCTCTTCAGCTCGGCCCGGCCCGGCGGCTCCTCCCGGGACAGCAGAGGCGCCGTCGGCCTGGAGACCTGGCTCGACATGGCCAAGTTCACGCTCCTCGGCCTCTACGGCGGCATCGAGTCCCTGACGCTGCCGGACCTGCTGGGCGTCCCGCAGCTCGAGGTCTTTGGCGCGGAGCGCACGAGGGCGCTCAACCTCGAGGCACAGCGGTTCTGGCTGCTCGCGCTGGTGTCCGGGGTGCTCGCGAACCTGGCAAAGATGCTCAAGGCGTTCGCGCACGCGCCCGTGCCGCAGCACGGCCACGGGTACGGCACCGGCGAGCAGGCGCAGCAGAAGCCGGGCGGCGGCGGCGAGGAGAAGCTCGACTGGGAGGCGGAGCGCGCCCGGCTCAGGGCCATCGTGGCCAAGCGGCGGGAAGAGAGGAAGAGGTGGAGGAGGAACGTGGCCTTCCAGGTCAGGTCGCTGGGACGCAAGGTCATCGCGGACTCGTTGGACTGTCTCATCCCCGGCGCCGTCTTGGGCTGGATGAATGTGCAGCCGGGCACCGTCGGGGTTGCCATGCTCATCACGACTTACCTGACGGGCAGGGACATATGGGAGAGGTGCGGCGCCGCAGCGGAGGCAAAGATAGCTTCTTGAATAAAAAAGAAAAACTAGTACATGACCTAGTAGATAAAGGGCTTTGTTTACGATACAATATACAGATGGGATAAAGGGATTGGCATGAGTTTCGGCCCGGGGGATTAGCGGCCGCCGGCAAGGTAAGGGTTGTTGGAGGTAGTTTGCTTTTTACCTGTTAGTCAACCGGCTTGAGCTCCGGGAGGGGGGTTGAACAGGGTGGTTGTGTGTAGTGTAGTCTGGTGTGTGCTGCGTTACGCGTAATTAATCATCTGCGGCAACGTTGAAATGGCCGTTTTGGACCATCAAAAGGTTATTCGAGGCTGGCAGGAGATCCTGCGGCGGCTGGGAGTGTCTACCAGGAGACATGCCTGTTGGCCATGTCATATCATGTCATGTCGGCTGTGCGCTCACACCTTCGCGGGTGCAGACGCCGTTGCCATGTTTGTTGCTCCTCGGATTGTGCGATACCAGATGAATTATCGACACCTGAATAACCTGTCTCTGTATTGTGTCGCCGTGATGCAGGCGTGATGCATTTATGATGGGAGTATGCAGACCAAGAGACGGAACAGTTGTGCCCCCCTGAACTTTACTTTGTCGTTAAATCCTTTCTCTATCGTTTTGGATTCTCTACTAGTGATATAATAGGCCTCGATTATGCAATCACCTCTATCGCAGTACGCTCAGACGGCGCGCAGATCGCCTCAAAGTTGTTTATCCCAATGGTATCTCGCTTATGATCGCAACTCAAAGAGTCGTCTTCCGGACTCTGCCTGCCCCTTTAAGATAGATAGCTCCACCTCTTTATAGTTCGAAATGGCCCACCACCGGGCGATGAGGTATGCAAGTCCCTGGACATATAATGCTGGTGCCTAGCCGGGAAAGTCTCCTGGCAAGCAAGCAGTGCTCTCCCTAACAAAAAACGCGTCCTCGACCAACCAGATCACCGGCGGCCTGTCACCCGATAGCTCCCAGTCTCCACCGAAACCTTCCATCCATCGTTGACAAGGGCGGCGATGACGCCCTGTCTCAGTCGCGAAACACCTCCAGCGCTATGAAGACCCCGGCCCGTGACGATCGTAAAGCCCTCCTGGGCCTTCCTCGTCCTGTACTCCCCTAGGTTGTTCCACCAGTCCCAAACGCGTTCCAATGCGATTCGCACGCCGTCGGCGACCTCGACACCATGGAGGTCGATCTCAGTGGCAGAGCCGGTGCTCGCAACATGTATGTCGGCGGCCACACTCTTGGCCTTGGCAAAACTGCGCGCTTCTTCGCGTCCGCGCTCGGCGTAGTATCCTGCTGCCTGTCTGTACAGGTGCCCCTTCTTGTACACCTGCCCGGCGGTGTTGTACGAGTGGCTACTGGCATCACGATACATGACGGCCGTGTCCATGGCTTGCCTATAAGACATGGATGTAGATGGACTGGTGCAGGAAGAAGTTGATGTGCTGAACGTACGTCCAGTCGGTGACATGACTGAGGAAGTGGGTGTGCTGAGCGTACGTCCAGTTGGTGATATGACTGCCAACTTTGGCGAGGCCGCCCTTTGCCAGCCTTCGGACGAGCCTTCCAGCTCCGCGTTCGCCAGAGGCGTAAGCCTGTAGTTAATGTCTAGTCGCCTGGCCGGTAACTTCCCGAAGTAGCGATTCAACAAGGTGGCAACCTCCTCTGTCCATCGTTGGTCGCTCCGCGTGACTTCATCAAGAGGGACGAGGTATTGCTCGGGAATATGCCGGTACTGCTTCTTGAGCTCCTGGATGCGCTGCTTTCGGTAATCGTATTCGCCGCTCCATGCGCCAACGCCTTGCTTGACATAGCGGTCCAGGAACTCAATGATGGTAGGTTCCGTGGAGCCCTTGTGTGCATCGAAAACGTCCGAGACGTCGTCGAACGGCAAGTCGAGCTTTTCCACAATGAAAAGTATTTTTTTGACCCCTGAAAATCGTCAGTCATGGTTCTTCATTAGCTCGGTTGTTATGCACACTCTCGTTATCGTCGTTCATAGGCGAACCCTCCTTGATGCTGCTAGAACTTGACAAAGGATCCGAACGCAAATCCGTCCGTTTCTTTCTTTTGCCTTTTTTCTTTCCAGAAGGCTGTGTGTTTTCTGACTGGAAGAAGCCGTCGACCCCCTTGGGTCTCTCATCAATAGACTCGAGAAACTGGAGGTTCAGCAAGGTCTCCAGAGCTGTCTGGAAGTCGCCCTGAGCCTTCTTGAGAGCAAACTTGACGTCGTGGGGCTTCAGGTCGGAAAACATGTCCTGAAGCTGCAAAAGCTTCTCCTGGTCCGAGTCCCCGTCGAATGTCTTGATGCGCGGAACATCGTAATCAGGCTCAGAGGGAGGCGAGCTCGTCAGTGTAGTCCCCGAAGAGTCTGTATCTTTGGGTTGCAGCCGCTCTGAGGGGCTTGTAGAGCCATCGCGCGCATCGGCTGCCCCGTCAACAGAACCGATGGTGTCGGGCACACCGCTCGCGTTGAAGCCGCTTGCTTCCTCGTCCAAGACATTCTGGGCGAGACTCTGCAGCATGCCTCGGACTTGGCCAAGCTGATTGGCATCGTCGAGGTCCACCTCACTCGCAATAACGATGACAACAGTCGGGTCTAGGAGGGGAAACTCCGCCTATGGAATTGTTTTGTTAGTCTAATGCACGGAGCGAGCGCAACTCCCTGCACATTCAAGCGCCGGGTGTTGTCGCAAGTTGTCTAGTATGACGTGGCTGGCTCATGATGTCATCTGCGCATGAGACCGAGTAAGGAGAATGACACAGGTCATGTCAAGCTGAGAAGCATCACTCACCACCAAGGCGTCGATTTTTGATGTATTCATTGGACAAGGCAAGACTTTAGGACTCAAGATATCGTCGTGGGATAATCCGGATAAGCTCGCTAATCATACTGAGGCCCCCCAAAAAAAACACGAAAAGTGGTACAGAAAGTCAGGGGTTTGGTCGCGGAAACAACCAAATAATCCAGGCCGGTTAAAGTCGAGACGTCAGATGACGGACGACAATACAAGCGCGAAACAGACAGACGAGGAACGCCGGCCTCGTTGCGCTGCACACAGAAAGGCTGGGGGGGTACTGAGGAAGAAGGCGTCGAGTCGGCGAAGGAAATGACGCGGGATGCGGGGCGGGCTGTTTTTTTAGTTGGAAATGATTGTTGTCGATTTCTGCTGACGTCTCAAAGAGGGGTGTGCTTGGCGCCAAATGGTTCAAGTGCGAGATCTAGTAAGTGGTTGGTGATTCATGGGAAACGCGGGCTTGGCACGCGTATCCGAAGAGAACAGAGAAAAGAAGGAAGAAAGAATGGCTTGTGTCATTGGGGTCGGACCGTTTGTCCAGTCAAACAAACTGCCGCATTGCGACCGGGTACCGAGGCAGGTACCGAAATGTATGTAGAAAAACGTGGGTGTCGTCCATGCCCAGCGGCTGGTGTGGCGCTTACGGCTGGAGTCCTTTGCCAACACGTCAATGTGGCTGACTCGTGGCTGAGGCAATGCTGAAGCAGCTTGGTGGGGTACATGTGGCTGAGGCTTAGTGGCAGCTCCCTGCAGACCCCCTTCTGAACCACCGTGGCGCGACATCAGTGGCCCGATCAGTGGGTTTAGGTAGGCACGAGCCGTCGCAATCGGGGCCTAATCCTAGGTAATCCATTTGCTAGGTTGTTCCTCCGCTACTACCTAGAGAGACAAAAGCGGGAGGATGCTTTCTGATCCGTGTAAGCATTGCCCGTCTGTCTGTGTTCCTACCGCAGTGTATGCGATCAGGAACCTCGTGTTGATCGCCCAATGTCATCCAGGAGCTTCTGAGACGCATCATATGTGTGTCCTTTTGTCCTCCAGTTTCCCAATGGGGTGAAGGCGCTGGCGCGGACTTATCAGTCAAAAACCTAAACAGGAACAAGCTCAGTCAGCTACGTGGGTATGATCCCGTCTGGACGTTTCCACCCCCGCCTAACTCTTTACCTGCATGCATTCGGCAACGGACCAGGACTGCACGATCGGAGGTAGGGATTACATAACTGCTGAGGTCGACCGAGCATCCCGGCATCGACCATCTGGAGGCAAACGCGACCGGCCTTGCATCGTCTACCCGGAGTAAACGAGTAAGTCGGAACGCAGGTGCATCGCTTTCAGACGAACGCGACTGTTGGGAGAAACGACCGAAGCTACCTACCTCTTATATCACGAAACAAAAAGAGACACTGCACGACTAGACGACTGCCGTATTGGACAGCATTCCCCTGCGACAGACTTCGTCCCTCCGTACCTTGCTTGGTTGGCTCGCCCAACTCCGCATCGTTTTGTCCTTTGCTTCGTTCTTTCGCGGGCTCCAAGCAGGGTCTAGGCGCACATCTGTCGCATAGTCGTGCTCAGGTTTTTCGTACGGGGGGGGTCCTGGCGGCTGCATCCCAGCGCATCAACCTTGACTTTTATGTTTCCGACACAAACTCGACACTGGCCTAGGTATATAACTTTGTGTCGCGCCCCCTCCGCTGCGGCTCTGTTTCAATATGTCACCTTCAACGCCGACTCTCAATCCCGTTCTTGGACCCGAAACCGATATACAATTGAGATCTGAACCCCAAACTCATCTTGGACTTCGACCTGATCTACAGCACCATACCGTCCATAGGCGGCCCATCATGAGTACCGAGACACGGAAGAAGTTTATCAACTACCCTCTGCCGGTTCCTGGGTGAGTTTTTTCTCGTCCCGAGTTAGTCCGCGTTGAACGCCCCTTCGTCTCGTACGACGGGCGCCTTCGTTGACTCATTTTCCTCGCTTACATGTCGCAACAACCTGCTGATTGATATTCCAGGCCAGCCTTCCCGTACTATAATGACAGGAAGAGCAATCCGCCTCTTAGAGGGTGGGTCTTGGTCGCGGCGGCGTGGGCGTAAGTTGTATCTCTGACCGAATGGCGTGTGCCCGAAAATGCTGACGACAAGATGCAGCATGGAATGCTTTTGGTTCGTACGCTCCTTCATTTGGAAAAATGCCGGCTTCGGCAGTGTTAGGAAGATTCGCAAGCACATCGAAGATGCCGAGCCTCGTTACGACCCAACTGTTTTGCCCGTGCCGACGGATGAGGCCAAGGACCCGGCTGTCCTCCATCGCGAGAGCGCCGTGCAGGCGAAGCCACACCCCTCCAAGTACTACACCGTCAACGACTATCATGAGATGTATCTGTCGGGCGTGGTCACACCGCTCGCTGTAGCCCGAGTCATTCTGTCGCTGGTGCGCCGCGATACAAACCCGCCGGGCGAGCACTCCCTCGCGTGGTTCGACACCAAAGTCGAGCAAGTCTTGGCCGCTGCCGAGGCCTCCACGAAGCGGTACAAAGAGGGGTGCTCACTGGGTCCTCTCGATGGTGTGCCTACGGCTGTCAAAGACGAGTACGAGATTGACGGATACCGGACCTGCCTCGGTTCCAGGAACGACTACACCACAAAGGCCGAACCTGGCCAGTCGATCACAAGCTGGTGCGTGAGGAAATTGGAAGATGCAGGCGCTGTCGTTATGGGGAAGCTGTCCATGCACGAATTTGGACTCGGTGAGCCTGGGATTATGATGAAACGGATGGGGAGGCGTACGCTAACGATTGACGAGATACCACCGGAAACAACCCAATCTACGGAACGCCGCGGAATCCTTACAACCGCGGCTACTACACTGGCGGAAGCTCCTCGGGGGCCGGATATGCAGTCGCGACCGGCTTGGTCCCCGTAGCCCTCGGCAGCGACGGCGGCGGCAGCATCCGCATCCCCTCGTCCATGTGTGGCGTCTACGGCCTCAAGCCCACCCACGGCCGCGTTTCGTTCCACCCCTGCCCGAATCACAGCAACAGTTGCGCCGTCAATGGACCCATCGCCGCGGACATCGAGTCCCTTGCGACCTACTTTGAAACCATCGGCGCGCCGCATCCCGACTCCTGCTTCATACAGGCGTCCCCATTCATCTCCTCTCCCAGCGAGAAGCGCGGCAAGATCCTCGGTGTGCCCGAGGCCTGGTTCGGGCAGGCGGATCCGGCCATCCAGCGCATGTGCAGGGCCATGATTACAAAACTGGTCACGACATACGGTTACAGCACGGTCTCCATCGATATCCCGTTCCTGATCGAGGGCCAGTTCGCGCACGCCATGACCGTTCTCACCGACGGTGCCACCCTCCTCCCGGAAACCAAGAACCTCACGCACGCGAACCGCATTCTCCTGGCAATCGGTCGCGTCACGTCCGCCATGGACTACCTCCTCGCCCAGAAGCTCCGCGGCCTGCTCATGTCGCACCTCGCGCACCTGTGGCGCACGTACCCAGGCATGATCATCGTCACTCCCACGACCGCCTGCGCGGGGTGGCCCATCATGAGCAAGGGCGAGCTGGCCTACGGCGTGAGCGACGGCGACCGCACCATCAGGTCGATGGAGTACGTGTGGATGGGCAACTTCTGCGGGCTCCCGGGCATCACAGTCCCGGCTGGCTACGTCGTGCCGCACGACCAGCCCGGCGCTGGTAGCGAGGCCGGGCCCGAGACCATGGGCAAGATTCCTATTGGGCTTATGGGCATGGGTGAGTGGACGGACGAGCATAGCCTCCTCGAGTTCGGGCTAGACGCCGAGGATCTATTCGCGAAGGAGCGTTGCAGGCCGCCCAACTGGGTCGACGTCATCCAGCGGGCCAAGGACGATATGGCCAAGAGTGGGGAGGACAGCTTGATAAACATCTAGAGACCATGTACATATATCGCAGCGACAGAATCGGCAAAACCAGCGAGCAGGAGTAACCATGTCAAATCCAAGCAGGAACCCACAATCATTCATGCCCTTTGTGACGAGCTGGCTCTGGAGCCACAGCGACAGGTTACAACATGCCATCCCCACTGCTCTGAGGGAGGGGGAGCGGCTGGGCTCGTCGCGGGGTTGATTCGTTCGTCATTGATGGGACGCAGGGATAACCCCTCCTCATGGACGGCGACGGAGAAGCAACTGGAAACTATCCCACATTGACAGAGGTTCTTCAGCACCTCCCTTCTCCTCCCCTGCGCAGATCAATGCGAGCTTGGCCCGGGGAGCAAGGGCCCGAGCTGACGGAACATGTGGACGATTTTTGGCGAACTAGACAGGTCGGAGCAAACGCTATGCCGACGGACGAAGCTGCAGGAGCCCGAACAGACCCGGTTCACCTTGCAGCATGACAGCTCCCGTTTCTCGAATCCGGACGGACGGACGGACGGACGGACTCGGGGAATTGCATGCCTTGCTATGGGACGCAGGCCCAGACCGCACCAAAACCTTCTGCGGCTTGGTCATGCGACAGCCTGCCTTTCTTGGTGCCGTCGATGGCACGGGCTGCGGGGGAGGGGGATGGAAGGAAACAGGATGAAATGTGCCCCTGTGTTGCAGGGAGCCAAAGATATGTAAGCGCAGTGACTCGGTCGGTGGCAGGCGCAATGCGGGAGTTGACGACCGCCTTGGAGTCTGGCGCTGAAGCGTTGCGTTCTGGGCGTCATCTGGACTTTGGTGTCTTGTGCTAGAAGGCGGGGCTGGGGACGGGGGCACGGAGGGGGAGAGGCATTGTGACAGTTTCCCAAAGGAGACGGCCAGGTCCTTGCAGCGTTTTACTGCGAAGTTTATCACGCACAGCTCATTATGTGTAAAAAAAAAAAAACCCATGTCTGTTCCTGGATGGAAGGGCGGCCTTTCTGAATCGGCAATGCCCCGGGGATCCAGCCCGAAGCCGGATTCATGGCGGGTGGCATGGGGCCCCGCTTCGCCCACCCGGCGCCGGTGTCGAGTCTCTAGACTCCCTAGCCAGGCCCTACCACGTCGTTGACACAGTTGCTTCTTTACATGCTGCAGCGCAACTCCATCGGCACACTCGGTAGCTTACTTTTTTTTTTATTGGGCCACCCGTTATTTCTGGTCAAAGTATGCGAACGTTGTGGCCTACTTAGGTGGCCAGGCAGGCTCACAGGATTCGGCCCGGCAAGCCAATTCGAAAAAGTGGAAGCAGCCTGGAGCCGATGGTTTGCCTCGATGGTGAACCTCCGGTCCCGACCCACTATACCGGCGGGGCAAACATCTCAAGCCGCCGTCTCTGTAAGGTTTGCGTATTGAGTCGCGCCATCAGGCAACACACGCCGGTCAACTAGTCGGGCGCCATCTACAATATGTACTTTTGGCACGTTATGCAGGCGAACTGCAGTGGCCGAAACGAGACAGCACAGACCGATGCAGAACTCCGGGAGCCATCCAATCAACTGCGGCGCCGTTGACATGCCCTGGAGAAAGGAGGGAGCACAGCAGACGGTTGTTTGAACGGCGGCGGTAAATCGTTCATGTTCTCGAGGTCGCCAGCGACCGAACCGGCGTCTGGGACCCGGGATCTACGGAAGCTAGCCGGGCGGCTCTCGGGAGCACGAGGGATGGGCGTTTTTTACCAGTTCGAGAACGAGCAGGGCAGAAACTTGTTGAACGTGAGAATGGCACAGAGAGAGAGAGAGAGAGGGAGAGAGTAAGAGCTTTGACGCCCCAACAAAATGCAAGGAATCAGGCCGGTTGAGATGAGGGGTTTGGTGCAGGTAAGTAGTTGATACATATACCTTACCTGCTTGCCTGCCTACCTGCCTATCCCTACTAACCACTAAGTACCTATCTAGTAGGTAGCGCAGGGCTAGCCGCGAACCGACTAACGTACAGTAGCGCAGGAGCTTTCATGGCTAAAACTACCACTCATGTCAGGTAGTGTGTATAATGTGCACTCCTCGGGTGGTACAGTACAGAGTAGGTAGTACAAACACTGCCAAGTGATAAACTGGCGCCCCAAGCTTCCCGCTTGCTTCTTCGCCGTCATTGGGTTTTTTTCTTTTCTTCTTTATTGGGTAGCTTAGTTTTGCTTCCCCCGCATTATCTGAGCAAAGCATTGAGCGAGTGGGATGATCTAATCTGTTCTGCAAGGACCTGGGGATAAAAAAAATAAAGAATAAAAAGCTTCCCCGCCAAAGATTCGACTGGGGAAGGAAAAGAGAGATACGTGCCCCCAGAGAGAGAGAGAAGGCCGTTTGGCTGCATTCTTCGGTTTTATTTCTATTTATTTGTTCTACAGCCACCGCACGCGACATTGCTATGTGTAAACACGTGTCTTGCCTTGTAGAAAGAAGCATGACGAATGAGACGAAAAAGGCAGCAAGAGCCCCAAGTGGGAATCCATAATTCACGTAGTTCCCGTTGTAACATCTAACGCCCAAAAGGATTGAAAGAAAGAAATAGAAAAGAAAAGAAAAGAAGAGGGGCGTCTGGGGGAGAAAACTGGATGACATCGCGGGCTTGGCCGACACTGTGGGCCACTCCTTCCCCCCCCTTTGGTTGGCGCATTCCCCTTGCCTCGCCTTACCTTACTTACTCTTTCTCTCTCCATCCTTCCGCTAGGCCTCCCGTAGAGCCCCATCCCTCACATTTCTCCGACAGCCCATCCATCCTCAGCTGTCCTTCTTGCGTCCCCAGTCGCATCGCCCGACAGTAAGAGGCGCCATACTTCGCCGCCGTCGTCTCTGCCCTGCCGCTCGTTTTGATCTTCATCACAATTCTTCTTCTGGCGGTTACCGGGCAGCACCACCTAATCTACTCTTATCGCTGTCGCCCTGCTGCACCCGAAGGTTTCACACCACACCACATCACACCACACCAACCAAGGATGAAAGGCTAAGGGCGTGGCGCAACAGTCGGCGAGATTTTTTACACTGCTCTCTCCCTTTTCCCATCTCACCCGCCTTCTAAACCATCCAGATCGTCCTCCAACGCCTTCCATCCAGTCGTCATGCCCGACCACGCCGGGACGGCCGCCGCCGCGCCGCCCCAGAGCGAGTCTAATCCGACCCCTCCCAAGGAGCTCTATCCCATGGTCAACTGGAAGTACGACCTCTTCCTCTGGGTATTGGGCGTGCTGGTCGATCTCTTCTTCCGTGAGGTTCACCCGAGAGGCGCCTGGAAAGTCCCCAAGACGGGCCCTGTTCTCTTCGTCGCCGCTCCTCACGCGAACCAGGTCCGCCCGATCCCTTTGCTGGAACCCCCTGTCATTATCACATGCTAACCGCAATCTCTGCAGTTCGTCGATGCCCTGATCCTTCAACGCACCCTCCGCCACGAGGCCGGCCGCCGGGTCTCCCTCCTCATCGCCCAAAAGTCTGTACACGGCTTCATCGGATGGGGTTCGCGCCAGGTCGGCTCCGTGCCCGTCGGACGTGCTCAAGACGCCGCCAAGCCCGGCGCTGGCGTCATCTACCTGCCTGACCCCATCAACGACCCTACCCTCATCCGCGGCGTCGGCACCAAGTTCGGCCAGGGCGAAGGCGAGGTCCATGGTATGCTGTTCTTGCCCTCTGCCAAGAAGCAGACGGGTGCCAGCGTCGACATCGCACAGATCCTGGGCCCCGAGGAGATCCGCATCAAGCGTCCTTTCAAGGGCAAGCTTGCCATGGAGCAGCTCACTGGACGCGACGACATTAACGAGAATGGAAACTTCACCAACAAGGACCTCAAGGGGTGCCAGCCTGGCTTCCAGGGTACCAAGTATAAGCTCGCTCCCCACATTGATCAGACCAAGGTGTACGAGGCCGTCTTCGACCGTCTGAAGTCTGGAGGCTGCGTTGGCATCTTCCCCGAGGGCGGCAGCCACGACCGTACCGAGCTGCTGCCCCTCAAGGCCGGTGTCGCCATCATGGCTCTCGGCGCCCTCGCCGAATCTCCCGACTGCGGCCTGACCATCGTGCCCGTTGGCATGAACTACTTCCACGCCCACAAGTTCCGCAGTCGCGCCGTTGTCGAATTCGGTCCCCCCTTTAGTGTCCCCCCGCACTTGGTCGAGATGTACAAGAACAACCAGAGACGCGAGGCCATCGGCCAGCTTCTCGACAGCGTCTACCAGGCACTGAGCGCCGTCACCGTCTCTACCCCCGACTACGACACCTTGATGATGCTCCAGGCTGCTCGCCGCCTCTACAATCCCACCGGGAAGAAGCTGCCCCTCCCCGTCGTCATCGAGCTGAACCGCAGACTGGCCATGGGCTACGAGAAGTACAAGGACGACGAGCGGGTCGTCAACGTGATCAAGGCAGTCAAGCAGTATAACAAGGAGCTCAGCTACGTCAACCTTCGCGACCATCAGGTGCAGTACGCCAAAATGTCCATTCCCAAGGTCATTTTCCTGTTGCTCTACCGGGTTACGAAACTTCTTGTCCTGCTCGTTGGCGTCCTGCCCGGCCTCATCCTGTTTGCCCCCGTCTTCGCCGCGTCCAAAGCCATCAGCGTTCGTAAGGCGAAGCAGGCACTGGCGGGCTCGACGGTCAAGATCCAGGGACGCGACGTCATGGCCACATGGAAGCTCCTGGTGGCCATCTTCCTGGCCCCCACGCTCTACCACTTTTACTCGGCCGTTGTTACGTACAAGGTGTGGCAGGATCATCTTTGGGGCTACGTTCCCGAATGGGTGCCGTGGTGGTCGACGTACATGGTAATGTGGCCGCTGATGGTGGGTGTCACGTTCGCCGCTCTTCGGTTTGGTGAAGTTGGCATGGATATTTTCAAGTCTCTGAGGCCGCTGGTCCTTTGCTTGAACCCCGCTTCCAGCTACAACATTCATCAACTGCGAGCGAAACGAGCCGACCTCAGCGCTCAGGTCACGGATCTTATCAACACACTGGGCCCCGAAATGTTCCCCGACTTCGAGAAGACTCGCTTGATTGCGGATCCGTACAAGGCCGACGGGCACTCTCGACCTCGCACTCCGCCAGCGCGTAGGGATAGCGACGCATCCAGCGCCTACGAAGCGGCCACGCCACCGTCATCCATCTCCCGGAGAGCGACTCAACAGTCGAGCCGCGGCCTGCCTCGTAACGAGTCGTACAGCAATATTGGCGGTGTCGGCATCTTCTCCACCCGACCCCCATCGCGCTCAAGGAGTAGGAGCAGCAGCAGCGGAGGCGGTCTTGGGTCGGGCGGGTTCCCTATCAGCGGCTTCACGACGCTGGACTCTGCCGGCGGGTTTGACGAGGCAAGCAAGAAGATCCGCGAGGCTATGAAGTTGCGCAGGAAAAGGAGCGGCGACCAACGGATGGAATTGGGTGCCGACGACAGCGAGGACGAGGAGTACAATGAGGCGCGCAAGAAGAACGCGTGATATCACTTTGCTTTTGTAAGCTTCTGGGGAAAAGGCACTCTACGTCTGTGGGGACGGATGCGCGAAGCAACTGGACTATAACTGGAGTAAGGTACTATGAGTACGTATAGACAGCGATTTACCTAATAGTTGAGGAATGGATTCCCATTCCGTGTGAAAGTCAATCGTTCCGTTGGGCAGAGCCGAGGGTGAGGGGAAACGCAAAGCGATGGGTGGGTTTGGGGCAAGTGTGCGCGGCCGATGACGGCGATTGCAAAGTGAGAGCCGAGTTAACTCCGCCAGCCGGGTCGGCTGCTGGTGGGTGTGTGTGTGGTGTGGAGGTGGTAGGTTGGATCTGATAACTATAAAAAACAAAACAAAATGAAAAACCCTCCTGTCCACCAGCTGTTAGCCTGTTGCATCACGGATATTTGGTCGTATTTACTTTTAGGGCTGTAGGGCACAATGATATTTCGCCGTGTTTACTTTTCGTGCTGCTGTGCACAAGCATATTTGGCCGTATTTACTTTTCGGGCCGTTGTGCACATGCGTGGCCCGACCGGCTATCCATGCGGCCGTTGAGAAGGAAGCGCGCGGGACTGACTAGCAGGATGCAGTCATCGACCTGGTTGGATTCGTCTTGACCCATCTCTCTCGCTCTCTCTCTCTCTCTCTCTCTGCACCCCAAGTAAGGTAGGTACTTTTGATATGAGCGTCATCCCTTCCGGCTTGACAGGAAAAAAAGAAAAAGAAAAAGAAAAACCTGTAATGAGAACCTCTGACTAGGTAAGTAGAGAGGCTCATGGGCCCGGCCTCATCCATCACGTGCTGTATGTTTCGTGTTCCGTTCATTAGTCAAGTACCTTATAAATACCAACTGCCTATACTGCTGAACCGAGTTTCCTCAATTCAAGCATTCTCCGCCCTGTTTCTTCTATGCTCTGCTGTGTACTCTACCGTGCGCTCTGCCGTGTGCTCTGCTCTAGCTTGTGACATATCTATACCCCACCTCCCGCCCGCCGTCTTTCGGAAAGGTGGGCCGAACGACGTTGCATGTCCGTCCCCCTCGTCCGGGCCACACTACCTATTGTACACAATTCTCTAGCTTTTTAGACTCTCACAGCCATCCATCCTCTCTTTGTTCCCCCCGTCCCCCCCCCTCCCCCCCTTTTTTTTTTCTTTTTTGGAAGAGAGTTCGTCTCACTGTTCTGCGGAAGTCAAAGGCTTGGAGCGAGTCTATTTCCGAAAACCCCAACAAGCATCATGACGTCGACCTTGAAGTTACTCGTCAGTAGCGCCAAGAAGTTCGCCCACGAATCTAACGGGGCGCCTGCGCTCGAGCTATTTCCCAAGACGGACCCTGCCGTCGACGGCGACGATTGCGACCACGACTGCGAGAGCTGTCATGTCAAGTACCCCAAAGGCTTCAAGGTTGAAGAGAGCGACGAGCTGTATGGCCATATCAAGGGATGGAGCACCCACGCCCTCGTTGCGACGGGTAAGAGTGATTGGGTGAGGGACGTCGCGGACGAAAAGGGCAGTGTGATGGAAGCCATTGGCAAGGCCGCCGCACCCAGTAATGGAGTATGCACCCCCCTTCTCCCTCTTCCCCCTGCACGTTGGAGAGAAACCACGCTGACCCGAGAAATAGAAGCTGATGCTGTCCGCTTCCAACATCCCTACCCCGACACACTCGAGCGACTACTCGGAACCCACGACCGTCCTTCTGCTTCCCGCCTTCGTCATCATCGACAACGTCACGCCCAAGAGCGTTCCCAAGCTCCTCACCGAGTTCGTCGGCAAGGCGCCGACCAACAGCTCCCCCCTCGCGCCCCTCACCCTTCCCGTGTCCGTCCCCGTGGACGCGTCCAAAGGTGCCGCGGAGAGCATACCCCCTGAGATCTCCCGGCGCCCGTGCCCGCACAGCGCGCTGATCCTTCTCTGCTCACAAAAGACCCGCGACGCGCGGTGCGGGCAGTCGGCTCCGCTGCTGCGCAAGGAGCTTGAGCGCCACCTGCGGCCCCTAGGTCTCTTCCGCGACATGGACGACGAGCGGCCCGGCGGCGTGGGAATCTACTTCATTTCGCATGTCGGGGGCCACAAATATAGCGCCAACGTCATGGTGTATCGCCGGCCAGACGCGTTCGGCCTGGACGGCGTGGAGCGGGCGAAGGCGAGTGAGGACGAGCTCGTGCCGAAGCCGAGGACGGCGGCCCTTCCGGAGACGGAGGACGTGGGCGCCGCACAGTGCATTTGGCTGGCGAGGATCAAGCCGGAGGACTGCGAGAACCTGGTGCGGTACACGGTCCTACAGGGCAAGGTTGTCAAGCCCGAGACGCAGCTGCGCGGCGGTTTCGACCGCGCAAAGGGTAAGATGAGCTGGTAAGAGAAGACGGGGTTTGGACGGATGGGAGTCACTCGTCAGCGGAGGAGTACAATACATTTGAAAAAATCGCATCCCGCAAAGAAGAATTAGAGCTATGGAATGCGAGTATGTTTGGGCGTTTGGCGTGTATACACCGAGGCAAAAGGGCCGGCACAGTTCTACGTAGAAGAGCTATACAAGAGGGACACTTGGCCGAATGCAGAGAATTAATGGAGGCAATCAACAGGGAGACATTAGAGGGAAAAAAACCCGGAATGACTGGTACTCACATTGCCGTCGCGGCTTTTTAGAGGCTTATGCTAGATCAACATTGATGAGCTGAAATGTTGATCGCTTGGTGACACCAATTTCTATTGGGAATAGTAGGAGAAAGCCAGTCGGCCGGAGGACGGGCCCCGCTCACTACCGGCCCGCCCCGCATCCAACCGTGTCGGACGATAAGATAGACAGGTACCTCAGGTACCTAGGTACCTTATTAGCCAGGTAGGTACGGATAAGCACCTCACCTAACCTTAGTAACCCTCACTGCAGTGACGGCACAACTGGGAAGGACCCACCACCGTCGCCCAGACAACTAAGCTGCCTGCATAAACAATCCCCACGGTCATTCCCTCGAGCCAGTACCACACTTCCAGCTCACCGACACCACCATCCCCATCCTATCCCAGAGCTCCCAATCTTTCTTATTGCTACGACAGAGAGGTTAAAAATAAAATAAAAAAACATTCGCAAAGGGGAACTTCGTTTGGCTCTGAGCCATCTTCCGCAGCTTGCTCTACCGCCGATTCCCTTCCTCATCTCTCAGTCTATCCCCCAACATGGTGTGACCAGGGAGAGGAAAACATCGAAAAGCAGCTGTCGAGGCTCTCTCGTCTTCATTCATCACAGAATCATTGGAATTAAGAATTTGTTTTCCTCGCGCAGCATTGACTATAGTCACATTCCGCCCCCGGGACATTGTTTTCGTCCATCGAAACCAGCAGAACCCTGCCTCAAACATTCTCGCCCCCATTACCACTCGACAATGGGCTCCGCCGCCGCAGGAGATAACAATGGAGGAGGTCGCCCCAGGTCCTCAGTCCTGAAGAGCTTCATCCATCGCCGTAACCAGTCCGAAGGCTCTGCACTCTTCACCTCCCCGCCCTCCGTCCAGGTCACCACCACCCCCGCACAACACATCCATACCACCTACGCCCGACTCGAAGGCAGAATGCCGCCCCCTCCTATCCGTACCGAAGGCCTGGGGGCCCTCGGCGAGCTGAACAATAATTTCCAGAAGGACCCCGTACCGCGTTCCCCCCGCAAGGACGACGACCGTGACCGCTCGCGCTCCCCGACGAAGTCCACCTTTGGCAACATGTCCTTCAAGTCTTTCGCCAAGGACGCACGGAAATCACGCGACGTGCCCCCCGAGAAGCCCAAGAAGACGAAATCGAGCACGAACCTGACAGGTTTCCTGTCACGACCCCGGTCGGCCATGTCCCTCAACAAGAATCCGAAGGAGGAGGAGGAGGAGGAGGAGGAGCGTCGCTCGGCTAAGGACAAGGAGAATCGCACCCCTCCGAGCTCGACGTCGAGCGCTGACATGACGGGGCCGGCGCCGCCAATCTACGCACAGTTCTGCAGCCAAGACCTTGGGAGCAATGGGTTGCGCGGCAAGACATCCTTCGATGTGGGTAGCGGGCGATACGGAAGCGATGCCTCGAGCGAGGTGAAGAAGCAGAGGCCAAAATCCTACCATCCATCCACCGCAGTATCCGAGGCAAAGTCGACATCCGACCTGCGTAGCGGGATGACGACCGATGGCCGCGTACCCTCTGCCTCTGAGAGAATCAAGAGCAAGGTACAGCGACCGAAGCTCTTCACGGCCTTTTCCGCCATGGGCCACAGTACAAAGTCCAAGGGGTCCGACGCCTCTTCCGACAAGGCCATCGACCCCAACGAGATCGATGCTCATCTGGAGGCCATGCTTGATCGGCGCAACATCCCCGAGAACCAGCGCTACAAAATGCGTAACCTGGCAGACACGATCAAGATGGAATTTATCCGACAGGATTGGGCAGAGATGGCTGCCAAGGAGCAGGCAGGTACCGCCGAAAGCAACGAGTCCGCCCCCGCTGTGACTGGAGGTTCAGACCGCGAAGAGACCCAGTCTAAGCGTTCGAGAGGCAGAAGCTTCACGCTCTCGCGCAAGAAGGACCCTGCTTCCCCAACAAAAAAACCCAAGGGCGATGGCAGCACCATCGGCCGCCACTTCCGAAGCAAGTCTTCCGACAGCGTAGTGAGCGACAGGCCCGTGTCGGCAAGCTCCACGGCGAGCAACGGCATTCTTTCTAAGATCAAGTTCGGACAGGGCCCGGGCGACTACGTCTCGTATCTGCGCAAGGTGCAGAAGCCAGAACTAGTCGAGGTTGGGAAGCTGCACAAACTCCGGCTGCTCCTGCGCAACGAGACTGTTTCGTGGACAGAGGACTTCATTCGCCAAGGTGGCATGGAAGAGATTGTCGGGCTGCTGAACCGGATTCTTGAGATCGAGTGGAGGTATGTCGGAGCCCAACTTGGAAACAGGGGGACCAAAGCTAACCAACAATAGGGAGGAACACGACGACGCCCTGCTACACGAGAATCTACTATGCTTGAAGGCCCTCTGCACGACGGCACTGGCTCTGCAATATCTCCACTCCATCCACGACGATCTTTTCCCCAAGCTCCTCCACATGCTGTTCGACCCCGAAAAGAAGGGTCCCAGTGAGTTTACTACACGCAACATCATCACATCAGTGCTATTTACGTATATTGAAACGGCTTCTCCCGCGGAGCGGGTTGCTCGCGCTCAAAAGGTGCTGTCTTTCCTGCGGAATCCTCAGCCCAAGGAGGAAGAGAAGCCAGTCGGCTTCGTGCTGGAGATGCGGAAAGAGCGCCCTTACACCGTCTGGAACAAGGAGGTAGTCAGCGTCACAAAGGAGGTCTTTTGGATCTTCCTGCACCACCTTAACGTCATCGCCCTGCCCTCCGAGATGTCGACCAAGGGCGGCGCCCCGCTCAGCGCCATCACAAACGGCGCCCAAGAACCGTACGGTTTCATGAGCAGACACTTCCCCTCGGAGAGACCGCCCGTTCCGGCGGCGCCTTACGTCGGCGGGGTAGAATGGGACGCGACCAACTACCTCGCCTCGCACCTCGACCTCATGAACGCCATCATCGCATGTACGCCGACAACGGCGCAGCGCAACAACCTGCGCAACGACCTGCGGATCTCGGGCTGGGAGAAGGTTCTCGGCGGCAGCCTACGGCTCTGCAAAGAAAAGTTCTACGGCTGCGTGCACGAGGCCCTCCGGTGCTGGGTCGCGGCCGCCACCGAAGACGGCTGGGACGCGCGGGACGTGCGGTACGGCCCGCCGCCCGAGTCACGGAACACTAGCCCTGCGAAGAAGACCAACGCGGCCCAGAAGGCCAAGGCACCCGAGGTAGCGCCCAAGATCGAGATGCCCAAACTAGATTTCGGGCTCGACAACCACCGCGTCACGCCAGTCAGGGAAAGGGATGCCTGGCTGTTGTGAGGTGTGTATGTGTGTCGGTCTGCGTGCATGCCACACTACAGACTAGGTAGTAGAACGGGGGAGGGGGGTTGAAAAGAACGGCAAACACGCTCGGAGACGGTTGGCCTCGCCGGCAGGGGGCCTCTTCTCCGAGATACAATTGTACATGATTGCAACAGGGACGCTAAAGGAAAACAGGATGGGGGGGGAGGCTGACATGCGTCAGGGGTCCCTCGGTGTAAGGGAATCCCCCAAGATTGTCAACACAGGCAGGCGAAGCGGCCCTCTATCTGTTCCCCCCATTCCTCCACCCCCCCTTCTCTCTCACACACATACACATTCTCTCCCTCACACTCTCTTATATCGCCTCCCTCTCCTCTGACCGAGGAAGGGGCCACGCCGGACGAGGGGGAGGGGTAGGGAGGGGTCGCGGGATCAAAGGCGCTGCTTGCGGGTTTCGGTTGGTTTTAGGAAAGCAAAGGAAGGAAAGGGAAAGGAGTTGTCTTTTTTTTTTCTTTTCCACCGTCATTGGTTCTCCCTCTCCGTGGTCGTCATTGTTTTTTGTTTTCCCCTCCTCTGTTCATGTTGCGTCTCTCTCTCTCTTTATCTTTTTTTTCTTCCATTGTTGACCTCTGTTTTTTTTCGCATGGGGTTGGGATCACGGGGAGAATTGTCTGGTTTATACATCCATGCTGCCTAATGCTTCTCATGAAGGGCACGTTTATGAATTGATGATCATCATACATAGAAAAAGCATTTTTTTTCTCGATGCGCTTTGCTCGTTTTATTTTTTCTTGAAAAATCCCCATCGGCTCTCTCTCTCCCTCCCCCTCCCTCCGTCCTATTTGCGTGTGCAGGTCTCTGTGTCTCATTTGTGTCCGAGTGGCTCGTTGCATTCGAGCGGAGGATTCCAAGCGAGCGGGAGAAAAGCTGAAAACTGACAAGACTCGTCGTTGTGTACTGTACGTAAGTTCAAGGGGGGGAGGGAAGGGGGCGTTGGTAAGCTGAGGGCACGGATGCCGAACGAGCCGTCAGACTCCGAAGAGGGCAAACCGAGAGACTGGGGGGGAGGCTAGCTATTCCAAAGCCCCCTCTGACTGGCAGATGCGTTGCTCGTCCTTCTGCATGATTTGCGAACGGATCAGCCCCAGGCAGAGGGGGAAGGAGGGGTTCGTCTCCGAAAAAGGCCGGGGTAACGAGCCCAAGCCTCCCCTTCATGGGTCGTGAGTTTCGGGGGGTTTTCGGCAGAGACGAGGTGACGATACGACGGGGTTGTGCATTGCATTTGTCGGGTGTGCCCCTTCTCTCTATCCAGGTCCTCGGGAGCACGGTAAAGGCAAATGAGAGACGGAGGCTGGATGTCGAGTATCTCTGGACCTACGCCTTTGGGTTCAGAGATGGGTGTACAATTCGAGTCGTTGGCTTCGTTGCCGGCATCGTCTTCACCCCTGGCCAAGCATTAGTACTACTGCAAAACGCCAGCTCGTTTGGATTCGGCTCGCGAAAGACGTTGTCACCCAACCACGTCGTCGGCGGGCTGCCGGGAAGCGAGACATGTCCATCCAGAGGAATAGTAGCCGGGGCTCAGAGGTTGCTTCGATGGGCCTTGAAGGCGTCGTAGACTGTCACGCCCTTCAGCACGTCCTCCTTGACCTTGTCGTCAGCGGCCGTCAGCTTGGGGAGCAGCTCCAAAACCTGGCCGACCAGGTCCTTGGGAATGGAAACGACCCCGTTGGCAGGGTCGGCGAAGATGAGATCGCCAGGGTTGACGACCGTGCCGTCGACGTCGATGGACACTTGCACCGCCCAAGGAGTGCTCTCTGCCCCCGCGCCGACGGTGGAGAGCCCTCTCGTCCATATCTGGGGGTTGGTTCAGCCATTGGCCGGTAACGACGGGGGAAATTGCACGCTTGGTCAGACTCACGGGTAGGCCCGTACTGGCGAGCTCGCCCTGGTCCCTGGCACGGCCCACGACAACCACCGCCTTGGCTTGGCGAACCTTCATCCTGACAGCCATGATGCCTCCGCAGACGGCGTTCCTCTGCCCATCGGGCTGCCTGATGATCACGACGGTGCCAGGCTGGGTGATGTCCGCCCAATGAGCACCTTTGGGGATGTTGGCCGGTGGCGAATTCAGCGTCTCTCCTTTCCGAGCAAACAGGATCGTCGACGCCGGTGCTATGATCACGGGTGCATCTATGGCGCTTGATTGGCCTAGCAGTTGAAGGTCGGGCAGGAAGCCAGCTCCGGGGACCTTGAGTTTCACGAGTGCGTCTGATATATCACAGGCGGTGAAGTTCTGAAGAGATGCGATTCGCGCGTCGTCATCCGCGGCGGCCATGGTGACGGGGACTGAAGGTGTCAAGAAGCAGTCAAGAGCGAAGATGGAGCAAAGTATTCGGGTCACAATGCTAGCATCGACTGGTGTTGGCTCCAAAGTAAGTAGGCATGGAGTTGGGCACAGCTGGGGGGGGGGGGGGGGGGGTTCAGGTGATGTTGGATGCTCGGGAGCCGCTGAGGGCGAGCCCCTCCAATCAGATGGTGTTTCTAGAAGGACATATGTGGGCTGCTTTTGCGGGATGCACGTTGGAGGTTTATTGCGGTGGTGGGGGGACGACAGACAGCATGTGAGTGGTGCAACGCTGGGACAGATGTGGTGCCATCTTGGCACCGCTTGCGGCCTTTGCCATGTGCTGTTTCCAGCCTTTTATCGCCGTCTCCTGCAGAAACAACACGTTGGTTGATGCAGCAGCGACTGCGTTCTCCAGTCCGAGTTGTGACAACAACGGGAAGGGGGGGAAGAAGCCGATGGCCCCCATACTGGAGTGCGAAGGCCAGGTACGGTAGCGGCCGCGGCGTACGGCCCATCTACCGGGTCTAGGGTAACGGCGCGGGAAACGAGTGGGTTGCGGGCGTAGGCGGGCACTCTGCACATTCATTGTATTATTAGTAGGTAATTAAGGTGCGGAAATCGCAAGCGTACCGTATTTACCTACCATATATCCGTACACAACGCGTGATGCGACTGGCTCTTCAGGGTAAGCCGGAAGCCAAAACCCTGGCAGGAAGTCATCCTCCAACTTGCGGCAATAGTTTTGCATTATTGTGCGCTTGCTTCTCTTGCAGCTCTTGGCTTGCTCCGTCTCGGAGACAGAGATAAGCAGACAGGGAAGTTGCAGACCCAAGGTAGGCCTCCAAATGGGTCAGGTACAAGCGTCCAAGATGGGTGGTCCCTCGGAACCTGTGTGCGTGCATGTTCCAGAAAAAAGGGCAAACGTACATTTGGGACAATGAGAGATTTAGAAACCTTATCCCTGGTCGTCAGGTGTCAAAAGAGAAGTGCCGACGAGCCGGGTTCCTGGATCAGTCAAGGGACCATATAATCAGTCGATTAGGTAGGGGTCGAACACAACATGCTCTCTCGATCGGAGACGGCCCTGACGATGAGGGAGAAGAAACCCGGGCTCGCTTCGAAACAGGAGGACCGCCTAGGTGGGTAGGTATGTAGGTAGCTCACCAAAAAGGTACCTACAGTGACATTGGACACTCGTGGGCTCGAGGTCCACCGACATCGCTCTTGCATTGCATCCGTGTCTGTGTGTCTGTCTCTTTCCCTCTTTCTCTCTCCCTGTGTGTGTGTGTGTATGTGCCTATTGTGTTTTCGTGAAACCACGTGACGGTGGACGACACGTGCAAGCGATTTTCAGGTAGGCAACGCGGAAGAAGGAAAGAGCTTCGTGGAGCCCATCGGGCTCTTTCCTGCCACGAAGCTGCTATGTGCGGATCCTGGTGGAAGAAAAAAAACGGCAGTACCTGATGAGGTGAGAGGCAACTGCAGAGAGGGATGCGTCCGTATGTAGCTACCTACTATTTCCCCTTTCCTATCTTTTTACACGGGTAGGTTGGTTTTGGAGGGAAGGTAGGTATGAACTGCAGCCGGTGTTGATGTTTTTCTAAGGTAACCTACCTAGTTGCCAGACTTTTGACCTGGTACTGTACCTACCTATACTTACCTTGACCTCAACAACGTCTGGTACGATGTCATTGACACAGCTTCTGGCGTTGTCGACCGAGACCCCTCAGACGATGCTGCGATAGCGCCAGTGATGACGCCTCTCACTCGTCCCTCTCCGCACACCTTCCTTCTTCTATATGTAGGACACATCTCTTGGATTCATTGCCAATGCAACACTGGCCTCAAAACTCAACCATTCCACCGTACCCCTCTTTCGCTTGGGGGCCAATCGCCGCGCCAGCCATCAGAGATACCGAGATGGCGACAACTCCAACGACATGACACAGGGCACCAGTCACTGGCCACCCACCGCGGATCGGGTCAGGGTCTGTCCCACAGTCCAATCGCTCCCTTTTCCTTCTCACTCGCCAACAACGAATACAGCTACTCCAAAAGCCCTAGTGGCCCCGATAGTGCGCCCCTCCCCTCCCCCGGCCCCAGACCTCCGTTTATTGCCGGGTCCTAAGCGGGACGCTGGCCAGGAAGCCTATCACTGGTCCTTCTTCACAATTTGATACTGGGCCTGAGAAATGGTTGGGACACTTGAGAGCGTCTACAAACCGCCTGCCACTGGACGCTCCGATGTCGTGGCAAGTCCCGGCCCGCTGAAGATCATGCCGCCTTTGGCGGGAAACGGGGAGACAGACTTGGTTCATGACAGCTTTGAGTGGCGACATAAACTGAACGACAGCGATCCCGAGTCATTCCTCTTGACCGACCCGGGGGAATCATGGTTATTATTTCGCCTACTGCTTTCCCTTTTCTTGCACCGAGACACGGTAGCAAAACAACTCTCACTTTGTTTGTCTAATTGCCTAGGTGAGACATACGCCACGCGTTGGCCTGGGGCGTCGATAGTCGAAGCATTCAGGTCGTCAGGTACAAATGACATCGTCGTCGGTCTCGTCGGTCAGGGCCAATTCTTCAGGCATTAAGACACGGCGTGGTATAGCTCGTTTTGGATTCATAGCCATGATTCATTGCCTTAGTGGGAAACCCGATGAGACGAGCCAGGCATGGCATAATGAACCGGGCTGGAAGTCTCGACGGCTGCCGTTGCAGTTCAGAAGGTGAAAGTTGCTCACCGAGCCAATCCGGCCGGGAGAGCTTCAGGTAGACTATCGTTTCAAGACGAGGGTTCCTGGCTCGAGTTGGGTGTGAAAGGTTCGGCGCGCCCATCCCGAGGTCCCCGGTCTGCTCTACACCTTGACAGTGTGCTCTGGCTCTCGTCTACCTCGGTATGTACCTATGTTGCCTTCCTTGCCTGTCACCTGTCAATCTGGACCCGAGCCCGGCGGTCCGTCCCTCTTGGAGAGATCTCCAAAGTCATGACTGCTACACGTGCACTATCCATGCAGTCGAGCAGCAAGCAGCGGCAGGCCACATTACCGAGGACACCCGACGCGCGACTGAGGTAGGTACGGTTACAATGTCCATTTGCCCTTCCTTCTCTTTGGCCATGGACATGGCTCCCTAGGAAGAGGTAGGGGGCATCTTGGACACCTTTTCAACGTCTGTGCCGCCTGGCAGGTAAGCCTCGGATGGATCAGATCAAATATAGTTCACTGGCGTCGTTGATTGGGTCAACTGCAGGACGACGTCGCCTCAAGCTCCGCAACCTCTCAAATTTGCATTGAACGGACCGGGACCCAGGCCTGCTGCTACTGCGTGATCCTATGCACCTGCTCCTGCGGCGCACAGAGTACCCCCTCCCTGTGGCTGCAGTGGTCGCATACAACCGACCAGCCAACCCTGGCCAGGCGCTGACCTCATTCGTCCATAGTTGACGTCTGGGCTGCAGCAGTTTTGACCAGCAGGGCCCATGCCGCTGGCACCTCATCCACACCTGCGAGCCTGCCTGGTGGGATTGGACAATCATGACAACGGGCAGCAAGACGGAGCGATTCGCACGGATGCTCCAGACCGAACCCTTTGTTCTTCAGGCGGAAGCAAGGAGTAGCAGATACAGTACTGGCGACAGACAGCCAGCCCGTTCGTCCGTGTTGATCCCGCGCGTACAGCATAAGCAAGCACCGAAACAACGCGCAGTCCAGACCAGGCAAGAGGTACCGAGCCATTGGATCCATCGCCTTGCCCACCAGGATTCGTTGGTAGGTACCGTAGATAGGTACCTAGGTAGATAGGTAGGTTGGTAGGTAGGTAGGTTGGTAGGTAGGTAGGCAGGTAGGTAGGCAGGCAGGCAGGCAGGCAGGCAGGCAGGCAGGCAGGCAAGTAAGCAAGCAAGCAAGCACAAGGCTCGCTCCCCCAAGCTACCTACATGGGAGGTACGGAGTACTTGGTCCATTCGCCTTTTCATACCTACCTACGGAGTACGGATATACCTAGACCTTATCCGCATTTCGCACACACCCATCTCACCTCAGGTTAACGAGAAAGTATGTATCCTCCTCCGCCTGTCCCGTCCTATCACACCGATGCTTGTCTCGTCGCAGAACCCCTCCCCCACCTCTATAGCCTACCTACGCTTCCGAGCTTCCCCAGCCACCGTCTACTTGCTAACCCGAGTAGCTGCCGCAACCCAACCCGTCCTCTCCATCTGTTTGGCCCGACGACTTTTCTGCCTCCTCTCTCGCTCGCTCTGTCTGTCTTTGCCGCCTGGTCCTCTCCTCTTTCGCCCACGACTTTTTACTGCCTGGCCTTGCCTTGCCTGCCGCGCCTTGCCTCGACCAAACACAAGGTACCTTAAGCCTAACTTTGCCTGCCCACCTACCTTGACCCTACTTTGTCATCGCAACATTCCATGCCTACCACCTACCTAACCTTGCCTTACCTTACTTATCCGCCCGGTTACCTTGCTTGACCAGACCTGACCTCCCACCCCTCCGGCGCCTCTCTCTCTCTCCTCTTGCCCGTCTCGACTTGTATCGGACAGCAGCCGTCCTCACCACTACCACCACCACCACTACCACCCACCGACGCCGACGCCGCCTCCGCCTCTGCCCAGAACGCGACGCCCTTTTCCCTCAAAGTACCTCCTCCCCTGTGCCTGTGTCCATTGCCAGGGGATCCACCCCACCACAAGTATCCAGATCTCCGAAGCTTCTCTGCAAGCCCTGCCGCTACCGACCACGCCCACTCCCACGCAACCCTCAACTTGCTGAGACGAACTAGGAAGCTCTGCGCCGCAGCGGCTCGGCGTTCAAAATGTCAATAAAGTACGTCCTTCCATGTCCGGTCCCCTTCTATGCTCTTTCTCTCTGCCTTTGCTTCCCCCTTCATCTTCCCGTCATCCCACGCCGCTCGAGCCCCATCACCACCGGAACCATCCCGGTCAGAGTCCGTGGTACCCCGCTGTCAACCTTGACCTGATCTTTTGTTGGTTCCCACCCCACACTTCCCGTCCATAATGACGGACCAGTATCTGCAAGAGCAGCATGCCCTCACTATTGCCCGCACCGTCCAGCGAGAACGCCAACTTGCCCAGGCCCGCCTAGATTCTGACCATGGCGATAGTTGGGTCATGATCACCCAGACGGGTGAAATCAATCCTTTACCTCACGAGCACATCAGACACAGATCCAATGCCAAGGTCAGCCTGGAGCTGTCGGTTCCCAAGTCACTACAGCAAGGAAGGACGCCGTTCACGCGCAAGAGCGATAACGGCACCGCATACATCACAACACAACGAGTAAGCCATATGTGTTTGCCTCAAGACGTGGTGCCGGAGCTCCCAATTGACATGCCCCCTACAGATCATATACGTCCCCGCAAAACCAACCCCCGAGTTCAAGTCGTTCCATGCGCCCATCCTGAACTGTGCCGACTCGTATGTGGGCTCGCCCTTCTTCGGCGCCTGGTTTTGGTCCGCCACCGTCGTGCCCGTTGCTGGAGGTGGCGTACCTGCCGACATACCAAGAGTTGAGGTGAAGCTGAGCTTCAAGGAAGGCGGTCACAGCGAATTCAGGCAGCGGTTCGAAGAGTTGAAGGAACGACTGGAGCATGTCAGGCGTCTACAGCAGGAGACTGGACAGACGGTCAACATCCCGGACGAGCCGCTGCCGGCATACGAGGCGACTGAGGGCGCAGGCGCTCCGAGCGGTGTTGCTTCGCAATCGTCGCCGTCGCAGCAGCCGCAGGAGGAGGAGGAGGAGCCACTGGCCCGTCAGTCGGCTAGCTCTGGGAGTCAAAACCAACGCCCGGATGAGCCCCCACCAGATTATGAGGAGGCGCAAGCTCAGACATTGAGCATGCGGCTCGAAGACCATGTCCGCGAAGAGTCTGGTAGAGCATAGTGGTTGGTGCTTCGTCAAGGCTCATGAATCACGTGTTATTCCCCCCCGCGTCGATACCTTGCATTCTTCTTTCTTCTTTTCGCTCCCTACACATGTATTTTTTATGGCATCTAAACCGGCGGCTGGCGGATTTTGTGTTTCTTGATGAGCATTACAATGTAGAAATGACGGGGCATGCTGTGACGGTGACTTGGGAATGTACGTCCAGGAAACCAGAGACAGGGGCGCAATTGAATGAAGTACGTACGTACACACGTATGCCGGCTCAGCAACATGCTGATCAACCGCCACTTATCACGTTGGCCGAGTACGGCGCGTTGAGGCCGTACCGCAAACATGCGAGCAAGCACATGTTTGTAGTAGTTTTCTTCTTTTTTTTCTTTTTGCTCTCTCTCCTGCGCTGGGTTTCCATGTGACTGCGAGGAGGAGCCTGGGTTTCAAGAACGATTCGTCCTGGAGCGGTAGTAGGTATGCGCTGGGCCGACCGGCAAATTCTTCGTGGCCCGGGTCACGTCCAATGACGCTTAGTCACCCAGCCTTCCCGCCGCAGCCAATCAAAAACGACCAATTGGGAATAACTTAGCATCCGGCTCAGGCACCCAGTTTTCGTCTTCAATCCGCCGAAAGCTCCCGACTTCTTCCATCACCATTCACGCCATCACGTCAAGCCATTGAGAGCACACACCTCTGCCATAATGGGTTTTTGGGATACTATCACGGACCTCGCTGAGGCCGCCATGCCGTGGTCCACCGTCGAGGCCGAGGCTCCTGCCGCCGAGGAGAAGGTGAGCTGCGCAAATTGTTGTCCGATGGCCTGAGGCCGGGCGAGACACGTCGACACCGCTCACCGCGACGTCCGACGGGATCTCACGCGGCCTCGGTGCATCTCGCGACACTTTTCTTTGGACGCCGACAAAGGCCGAACCAGTTCGCTGACGACATTACAGGAGGAGGAAACCCCCGCTGAGGAGGAGTCCAAGGAGGAGGCCGAGGAAGAGGAGGACGAGGAAGAGGAAGAGGAGGAGGAGGAGGAGGAGGAGGAGACGGTTGACCCCAAGGAGCAGCTCGAGAAAGGTCCGTCGTCCCGATACTTGGGTGCATACGCGATGTCGAGTGCTGGTGGCGGTCGATGACACGCACATTCTGCGTTGGCCCGATGGCCCCCGCCAGTCAGATACGACATGGCGATTGCAGATACCGCACCAGAACAGAACACTGACAGACGAAACACAGAGTGCGAGGAGTCCAAGGCCTGCGCATCGGTCAAGCACCACTACGACGAGTGCGTCGAGCGTGTCACCGCGGCCGCCGATAGCGAGGAAGGCGCCAAGGAGGACTGCGTCGAGGAGTGTAAGTACCCCGAAACTGCCGGATATATGAGAAGCAAGGCCCACGGGTGTGGATTCGGTCCCGTCGAGGGAGGAACGCTGACGTTGCTGCATACAGTCTTCCACCTCGCCCACTGCGCCACTCAGTGCGCTGCTCCCAAGCTCTGGGCCAAGCTCAAGTAAACCGATCGACCCGACTCACGAAAAGACGGCGTCGACGGATGCCAAGACCATCGCATCAGCATTGGCGCAGGTTGTTTTCTAGAAGGTGGCCGCGAGAGACGAGATGCTGAGACGAGACGACGACGACGACGTCTAGTACCGGTCCCTTGGGACCAACCCTGTACCTCAAGTTGCCCATCAAGCCGGGTCGCTCAGCAGTGGGTGGCGTCGGGCTTTTGGCGCCGATATTTGTCCTTTGTACCATAGGCATCGCCCGCAATAGATTCCTGCATGATTATCCAGCTGTTGGCCTTTTCACGGTCGTCATCTCGTAGCCTCGGCAGGTTCGGTCTAGAACTCGGATACCCCCCCCCCCCCCTCCCCCTGTTACGAAGCGAGACTGGGGGGACCATTGGCATGTTACGATTTGGAAATCCATCAGTGTTTGGGGTTCAGTCCGCATCAAGACATGCTCCCCCAGGTTTGAAGATATTTCCCAACCCCAGAGCCCTCTGCCTCTGGGGCAAACGGTAGTATCTAGCAACGCTGCATAGTGAGATTGATCGAGACCCAAGACATCTCGCAGCCTTACCCTGCGAAATGGCAAGCCAAAGGCGGAGCAAGTGCCGCGAAGAGAAGAAAGAAATGAAAAGACAAAGGGATAAGACCTGCGGCCTCGACGCAGGTTAACCTGGCCGTCCACGGCATACGCGATAGGAACTAGACTCGAGGCAATGGTGTCGGCGATATTCTTCAGCCCACCTCCCAGTTGTCAGTGTTGGATCCAGGCATTTCACCATGGGACGGTGTGGCAGAGCTTCCGAAGTCTTCTTGCCCTCTCCTCCCTCGAGTCTTGGCAAATGAACCTCTGACGACTGCAGCCAGCGGTACAAAGTTGGTGATGTTGGCCGTGATTGGCGAGAGTTCGGATGGCTGACCGGGCCAGGAGAGGTGGCCCAATGCGATGAATCGGCCGAGAGGCAGGCCAATGGGAGACGGACGGGTCGCATCCATCCCACCCCTCCCCTTCTCGCCGTCCGGTCCTGTTCTGGACAACGGGGGAGAACGTCGCTTGGTTTCCAGCCAACGGGCGTTCTTTCCACCTAGCTGCGCAGTCTTCGTGGCTGGCTTTTGGAGCGTTATCTGCCTGGTGCTCCCCGGCCACGGCCACGGCCACGGGAAGCCAATATCATATCGCTGCAGGTGCAGGCATGCAGACACCGCACACACAAACCCCAATGCGAGACCATCCATTTGGGATGGGTTTGTTGGGTACACAAAAAAGAATCCAAGCTTCTCATGCAACGGCTCGGTTCAGCGGCAACACGGAAGCATGGTTGGCCCTCGTAGATGCGCAGAGTCAAACCGGCGCCGCGGACACCGTGGTCCGTGCCTTTATTTCCACATGGACCGAGCACTCACTGATTTAATTCCAGGCGTCGTCGAAAAATAGGAATTGAGGGCACGTGGGTATGAGAGTTTGGCACCATGTCACCCCCTCCCCCACCCCCGGCCTCTAGGCGCAAGTGATACGGAGACTGAACCGATGTGCGCGACAGGGGAGGGGGGGGGGGGGATCTGGTGCAGTGGGTAGAATGTCAGAGTCGACGGACGGGTTCTATCCCACATTCAGTATCAGTTGGCTGCTATCGCTACCACTATAGGTTCGACTTGATATCCCCCCTCCATCCCTGTTCCCAATTATTCCCTTTTTATCTAAGTCGTCCTCCCGTCTTCCCCTCGGTATCTCTCTCTTCTTCAGCCGGATTTCCCCTCATTGTGGTCATCATCGACCGTTGATTGTCCCTTTGCTGTCCTGGCCTCGTGCCTATCTCCATCGCCGGGGACGCAGTGTTGTTTTTTTGTTTCTTGCTACGTTGCGGACAGGCACTCGAGACGGAAAGAAGGAAGGAAAGATTCTGAAAAGGAACCAGAATAGCGCCAAGACACGCTTAGGCCAATCCACCGCATCCGCTACCCGAATCGACCGTTCTCATCCCGTCTCGTCTCAGAAGGTGGGTGCGCGACCTAGTGTATCGGCGCCTACGGAGTAGTGTATTACAATGCGCTTCTCCCGCCTCCCGAAACGCCAGACGCAAGTCTCGGCCGGAAACAACAACAGCAACAACAGCAACAACAGCAACAACAACAACAACACCACTGACGCCCTCTCCATCGAAGCCCACGACGTCGACGCGAAGGCCCCGGACCCCGCCTCGCCGCCCGACAGCGATATGCCGAACCCCGTCCCGCCCGGCCCCGGCTTTGGCAAGCTGGGGGACGTGGACTACGACCTTCGCGATGTCGACTCGGCCGCGTCGCGCGGCGGCGGTGGTGCTGCCGCGGCCGCCCCTGATTGCGATGGCAGCGTCTTCGAGGGCTCGATGACGGCCGAGTACCGCACGTATAAGCGCCGCTGGTTCGGCCTGGCGCAGCTGACCCTGCTCAACATCATCGTGTCCTGGGATGTAAGTAAAGTATTTTTTTATAAAATCAAATAAACCCCCCGCCCGTCGAATGCATGCACGTCCCGAATTCCTCGTTTGCTCTTCTTCAGATACCCCCGGATATGACGTCTTCTTCTTTGTCCATCTCGCAGACTCGGCGTTGTGGCCCGGGTACCTGCGGCCCGCACTCCTTCCCGCAAACCGCGAACCTGCGGTCGCGAAACCTAGCTGGCGAATGATGGGAGACGGTTCCAAGACAGAATAACTGCTGCATTCCTATCAGCCGGTGGAGACTAAACCTCAAATGAGACACACACAAAAAAAACAAGACGCTGACGTGAGACCTCCCTAGTGGCTCACCTTCGCTCCGGTTGCCTCCATCGCCGCGGACTACTACGATGTCTCCGAGTCGGCCATCAACTGGCTCTCGACCGCCTTTCTCTTCTCCTTCGTCGCCATCTTCCCCGTCACGATGCGCATCCTCCACCTGGGGCCCAAGCCCGCCTTCATGACGGCCGCCGCCCTGATCCTCGTAGGCAACTGGGTCCGGTACGGCGGGTCGCACGACCAGGCCGGCGGCAGCTACGGCGTCGTCATGTTCGGCCAGATCCTCACCGGCCTCGCACAGCCCTTTGTGCTGGCCGCCCCGACGAGGTACTCGGACCTGTGGTTCACCAACCGCGGCCGCGTCGCCGCCACCGCCCTGACCTCCCTCGCGAACCCGCTCGGCGCCGCCCTCGGCCAGCTCGTCGTGCCCTTCTTGGTCACGTCCCCGAGCGACATGTCCTCCGGCGTGCTCTGGGTCGCCGTCATCTCCACCGTCGCTGCCCTCCCGGCCTTCTTCATCCCCGCCCGCCCCCCGACCCCCGTGGCCTCCTCGTCCCAGACCGCCAAGCTCGGCATCCGCGAGTCCGTCGCCGTCGTCGGCCGCTCCCTCGAGTTGTGGCTCGTCATGATCCCCTATGCCGTCTACGTCGGCTTCTTCAACTCCATCTCGTCGCTGCTCAACCAGATGATGAGGCCCTACGGCTTCTCCGACGAGGATTCCGGCATCGCCGGCGCCCTGCTCATAGTCGTCGGCCTCGTCTTCTCGGCCGTCACATCGCCCATCCTCGACCGCACCAAAAAGTTCTTACCGGCCGTCAAGATCGCCGTCCCCGTCATCGGGCTGTGCTACCTCGCCTTCGTCTGGATGCCCGAGACCCGCTCCGTCGCGGGCCCTTACGTCGTCCTCGCCGTCCTCGGCGCCTCCTCCTTCGCCCTCGTCCCCGTCGCCCTCGAGCTGCTCATCGAGCTGAGCCACCCCGTCAGCCCCGAGGTCACGAGCACCATCGCCTGGGCCGGCGGCCAGGCCCTCGGCGCTGTCTTCATCATCATCTCGGACGCCCTGCAGGCCGATGCCTCCGCCGACCCGCCCAGGAACATGAAGAACGCCCTCATCTTCCAGGCCGTCGTCGCCATGGTCATCATCCCGCTACCGCTATGCCTCGGCCTGTTCGGCCGGGCCGACAAGGTCACCCTGAGGCGCGTCAGGTCCGACACCCGAAGAGCCCAGCAGGAGAACCCGTAAGGGGTGGGTGTGGGGAAGGTCTTTCGCCGATGACGTGTGTACGAAGTGATGAGAACTAGCAAAGGACGGCCGGGGGGTTCTTTATGAGTGAATAGGATGTAATTAGGCATTATGTTAAGTAAACGTTTTTTTTGGACACCCTCTATACATTTCGCCGGTCGGAGGAAAGCAGAAAACCAAAAAAAGAAACCCCAAACCAAGACCCGGTGCCTCCCCCTCCCCTTTCATGTTCACGTGCCCCTTGCGTTTCAACCCGACGATTTGTCGTTGCCGTGACTGTCGACGCCGTGTCTGCGAATGTCAAGAAACTCCTCCCACTCTCGCCGCAGCCTCTCCATCTCGGCCCAGACGCTGGCGCCGAGCTCCTCGAACTCGGCCAGCTGCTCGCTGCTCAGGTCCTTGGCGTTGGGGTTCCGGCCGACCACCTTGCGCAGCACGCCGGTGGCCGGGTCCCGGGACAGCGAGTCGCGGTCCTCGACGGCGCCCTCCCACCCCCAGCCCTCGACCTCGGTCTTCTTGACGTCCTGCCGGCCCGAGAAGGAGGCGGCGGAGCCCCACTTGATCTTCTTGGCGTCGAGCTCCGTCAGGGTCTCGTCGTCCTGCAGCGCGATCCAGACGGGCGCGACGGCACCGTTGTACCCCGTGACGGGGTGCCACGGCGAGCCCAGCCAGCGGGCGAGGTAGAGGGCGAACTTGTAAGCCCAGAAGAGGATGAAGGGGAAGGGGACGGGGAACAGGTTGGAGGCGACTACGCCCGGGTGGGTGAGGTAAAAGGAAGGACGAACTGGTAGGGCCCGGGCGGTTTCGGGGTCCTCGGGGGTGAAGTAGGAGGCCGAGATGTTCCGGGTGGCGGGCAGGTGGGAGGTCAGGGCGAGGACGTCGGTGAGGCGCTTGGAGGACTCGTAGGGCCCCTCGGTCTCGACGCCCTGGAAGTCGTCGAGGCGGAAGTGGCGGGCCTGGGGCTCGATGCTGCTCGTCCAGACGACGCGGCCGGGGGCGGTGCGGTCGTCGGCGGCCCTGGCGAGCAGCGGGAGGAGCTCGTGGGCGAGGACGTAGTGGCCGAAGACGTTGGCGCAGAAGACCTCGCCGAGGACGGGGGACGAGGGCTTGGTATCGTAAGCGGAGGCTAGGGAGAGGGGGTTATCGGGGGAGTCTGTGGGTACCAGGTCGGAGCGGACGGGGCGCTGGTTGAGGACGGCGCCGGGGCGGGCGAGCTTGAAGGAGGGCCATGTGAGGACGGCGAGGAGGCCCTTTGTGAAGAGGTCGGTGAAGAGGCCGGCCCAGTCGAGGCCGGTCCAGCCGCCGAAGCCGGCGTTGAAGATGACGGAGTCGAGGCGGGGGATGCGGTAGCGCGGGGCGGCGGGGCTCGTGTCGGTCGGGTCGGCGACGGCGCCGGCGACGAGGTTCGCGGCGCAGGCGTAGACGGAGGTGAGATCGCAGAGGTCGAGCTGGGTGGAGAGCAGGTGGACGCGGTCGAGGGTGTCCTGGGGGTCGTAGTAGGAGGAGCCGGCGCGGGAGCGGAGGGCCGGGGAGGAGGTGGCGGTGCGGCGGAGGTGGTCGCGGAGGGAGGAGATGGTCTCGCGGGACTTGCGGACGGAGCGGGTGGTGGGGATGAGGATCAGGTGGGCGGTCAGGGGCCGGGTGGCGAGGAAGTCGTCGATGAGGCGCTCGCAGATGCCGAGGCCGACTCCGCTGGGCGGAGCGGGGGGGAGTCAGTGGGAGAGTTATAAGAGAAGAGCGAGAGGCCCGTCAAGGGAGGGAGGGGTAGACGGAGAGCTTACCTGTTTGCGCCGGTGACGAGCACGAAGAGCTGCTCGCGGGGTGAGACCTCGTCCCAGGGCGCTGCGACCATTGTGCGTCTATCTGTCTGTCTGCCTCTGTCTCTCTCTCTGTGTGTGTCAATTGGAAAAAAGGAGTGTATCTCGAAGAGGGTCGCGGCTTCACAGGCGGGGTGGATTTAGTGAATGAATGAATGAATGAATGAATGAATGACGAGGAAGCGAAAGGAGGGGGGGGATGTGTTTGGCGGTGAGTCTCGTGTCTTAACCAAATTTCGGACGGGAAAGCTTAATAGGTCGTTGCCTCTTTGGGCCAAACGCGTCTGTCTCATGCGGGTCCGCGGGAACCTCGACGCGCCTAATTCCACGGAGTCTGCTGCATCCCAAGAGTCCGAGCCCGAGACCCAGATACGTGTTCTACTGTGCAATCAGATGCCGACCATGATAGCCGTTCGGAGAAGCTTTGGTGGTCGTGGGCGGCGGGCAGGCTGTGAGTACATACAGGTACACAGTAGTAGTGGTCGTTGGGGACAGAAATATTGTAGCTACGGTTAGATGGGGGGAACCCTGGGCTGATGTTCACTGCCAAGAAAAGAACCTGGTCTGTTTGATAACCGCGGTGAACATGCTAAAATGCAATTGTGCTTGCGATCTGGGAACTCGATATTCGGGCCGAGGAATTCGAGTATTCCAAGACAATCAATCAACCCTATCGATAATTACCTATCTAGACACGCTAGTCAAAACCGCATTTGATTCGCCCGATCCGCCCCGCCCACTATACCGGATTCGGCCGGCTCTCGCGCTCTCCAGGCTCACTCCAACCGACCCAAACTAAAAAAAAAGTACGGATACTCCATAAGCCAAACCAAACCAAACCACGGATACGGATACTCCATAAGTCAACCCAAACCAACCCGATCACGGACCTCACTCTGGTTCTATCACGCTCCGAGGCATATTATTGCTCGATTCATCACAGACCCCGTGTCTGATTGGCCGGCGAGCCGCCCCGTCCCTTTGATCACTTAGTGACGTTCCGCACTCAACTTCAACTCAACGACACGGCATCGAAACTCGAGACCGAGACACTTGACAAAGGAGTATTATTATTATTATTCTATCAACCAACTACACACGCCTCCCGCTGCATGTTCGTCGTCCAACTCCACCCTTTCCTCCCTTACGCGACCTTGCAGAGACGGCCGTCGCTCCGCACCTCCCAGTCGTCGCTGCCCACGCCCGTGAGCGCGTAGAGGGTGCTGGTGGGGTCGTACTTCTGCTTAATCGACTTGAGCTTTGCGTAGTTGCCGCCGTAGAAGACGTCCTCGTAGTCGGCCTCGTTACGGTCCGCCTCGTTGAGGTACGCCCCGCCGCCAGGAGTCAGCGCCTTGAGCTTGGGGAGCAGAACGTCCGTGACCTCGTTCTGGCCGATCACGAGTGTCGAGAACTTTTCGCGGCTGTAGGAACTGTGTTTTTCACGTCTTGTCAGCTTGGGTCCGTTCGACGGCACGAAAACACGTGTTTGAGGGGGCGGGGAGGGGGGACTCACGTTCCGACGACGGCGGAGAAGAGAGCCGAGCGCCACGCCGGGGTCACCGCGTTGGGAACCGCATCGTCGGGCCGGGAGACGTTGATGGTGAGGCCCGAGATGAGGCCTCCGTTGTCGGCGATGGAGCTCAGCGCGTCCGTAAGGTTAGCGAGCGAGGCGTCGTCGGCGACGAGGGTGCGGGGCATAAGACGGCCGCCGATGTTGTACTCGGTGACGGCGGGCTCCGGGTTCATGGCGTTGTAGCTGTCCAGGAAGGTGTCGTACTGCTCAATGTTGTAGTCTGGGCTTTTTGTCAGTCGAGGGCTGTCGTCACACTTGGGGCTCAACGGCTTCGCTTCGGGCTTCGTTTTCACTTACTATACTCGATGCAGGCCTCGTCGAGCGCGTTGAGGAACGGCTGGAGCAGAGTCTGGAGCTCATCCTTGGTCTTGTTGGGGAGAGTCGTCGGCTGCATGAGGAATGCGCCGCCGCCCAACAGCCAGATGCTGACAGCTCCGGCGTCGACGATGTCGGGCAGTACCTTCAGGTATGACTTGATGGCGCCGTAGAAGACGTCGTCCGAGATGCCGCTGTTGGTGAACGTCAAGTTGGCAGAGGACGTGATGGTGTCGGGGTACACCTTGAGCGTCACGGACAGCGCGGCCGCGTACACGCCACCGCCGCCGCCGGACATGGCCCAGTAGAGGTCCGTATTGTTGGTAGGGGTCGCGACGATCCTCTGGCCCGCGGTCGTGATGACCTCCCACTCGAGGACCTGGTCGGCCGAGAGGCCGTACTTGGAGACGAGGGGTCCGTGGCCGCCACCCTGGGTGTAGCCTCCCGCAATACCGACTGTCGGGCTGTTGCCTCCAACGACGACGAGGCCATTGGCGTGCGCGACGCTCTGGGCCTCGCCCACCTGGACACCGGCGCCGACCTTGAGAGCCTTGCCGGTGTAAGACGCCGACTTGTAGTCCAGGACCTCGATGTCCTTGATGTGGTGCGTCCAGAGCGCCAGAGCGCCGGCACCGGTGGACTTGCCAAGGTAGTCGTGGCCGGTGTTGCGGATGACGAAGCGGATGTTGTTGTCCTGGGCGAACTTGATCGTATTGACATAGTCGTCAGCGCCAGTGGCATTGACAGCGTACTGGACGTAGGTGCCGATGATGCAACGGTCGGATCGGTCGAGGAAGGGGTCGCAGCTCTGGTTGGCGAAGAAGGCCGCCATCACCGAGGACGACGTCTTGATGTGCGTCTCCGGACTGCCCCAGGCGTTCTGGAGAGCCGTGCACTCGGCCTCGTTGTAGGAACCGAACGAGCTGTCGTGGCAGGGGGCGCCGATGGGGACCGTCGCGATGAGACGTCCGCCAACGGTCTGGTTGAAGGCATCCCAGTCCGCCGCCGTCGGCCAGCATGCATCTCCGGGGTAGCAGCGGCAGTCTGCGTCACTTTGGCGAGCCAGGTGGGCCAAAGGGCCGCCGATGGAAGCGGCTGAGACAGCCGCAGGGGCGAGCGCGAGGAGGTTGAGGAACGACACCATCTTGAACGAAAGGAGACCGTCACGATCGCTTGCGGAGGGCAAAGGGATCCTTGAGGAGATGGAACGATGGGAAGGACCGAGGTGAGGTGAAAGTTCACATTTCAACTTGACATCGGACTACCTGGGCCATAGATATAAGAGGCAGTTCACGAAGATGAACAATGCGAATCGAGTCGGACAACCCGACGACGGCTTGAACGGAACCAATACCGATATTGGACGACCCATCGGTCCACGACTGCTCATGGGAGGGAAAAAATCAATAAAGACTTTGAACTATTGGAAAGGTCATGTCTTGACTGTCACTCTCCTGGCTCTTCAACCCTGCCAGGCCGCAAGGACACTGGAAGTAATGGGACCGGTTGCCGTGGTTGGTTGACTCGCGGTCGAGTGGCAACTCACCAACATCGATATTGGAGAAGGGATGGGGGGGCGCGGTCGACCCCCATAGCAATTGGCTTCGCCTTCTCTCAGATTCGAGGCCTCCTCGTTGGACGGTTGGAAGATACGGCATCTCTGGTAACCTGTTATAGGTAGGTAGTATCGCGGTACTGCATTAAAGGGATGGTCCCTGGTAGACGAACTCCAATCAGGTATCTCGTCCTCATTTGCCAAAATGACATTAGGATGCTACCGCACTACGGTGTAACCTCGGAGGATGCAAGGAGCAAGCAGGCTCGCATATGCCAAGGGCCAAGGGCAGTCGGATACAGCCATAACCGGAGAGAGACTGCCAGTCAACGCCAACGGTTCATCCAACATGCCACGGTTCCGTGGAACCTGAGCGGTGGTACCACAAGAGCGAGGGTTTACCCCAGGCCATGGTTTGGGGTCCAACGGACGACACTAGGGAAGCCGGCACCATTACCGTTCACGGACGCTGCCAAGGGAGAGGGAGAGGGGGTGGCGTAAGTCAATTGATCCTCCCGCCGGCAAGGTTTATATCTTGGAGTCTGTACGAGTCAACACCACGCATGTGCATTTCGACCGGTTTGATTTGTCCGCCTGAGAACCACAATTTATTATCGGAAATAATCCTCCTGCTTGCGACCCTTGTCGATTCCCTGCCACGTATCAAGCTCCACGCTTGGCTCCCCAAGCCAGTCACTTATCTAGTCCATGACTCGCACAGCTCCATAGATTCGTGATCAACCCTGATCAACCCTGACCAACCCTGACCTGCCAACTCTGAACGAAACGACGAATACGTTGGTAGTTCACAAAACAGGTTGTTCATGCCGTTTGGAACCTCGCCCGCGCGCCCGTTACGTCCGCCACGGCAACGACACGAAACCGTTACCGACCAGCGGCAGAGAGTATAGACAGATGGTCCACAGGCACCATAACTTCCAAGCTCGAGAGTCCGTTTTCGGTGTCCTTGTCCGGAGGACCCCAACGACCACTAGCGCCCCGGACAGCATGGGCAGCAGCACTGCCCACGAGCGGATACGCCAGACGTACACGCATACGCAGGACCAGAGTGGGACGAGAACCGAGAGAGACACGCGCGAGGCCTTGTCACCGAAGAATAGGGGGACGGTAGCTCGGCCGCGGCCGCTGTCGCCCGCCTGGTCCTTGAGGTCCTGGACCTGCATCGTCGTCAGGATCACGGCGCTGATGATGAAGGCCCACGCGTAGCCCTCATTTGTGATGACCGCCTCGGCGTCCCCGCTGATGGCGATCTTGAGCGAGGCCGTATTGAAAAGGCCGTAAGCCACGGAGATGATTGGGTCCCGCAGGAGCTCGTCGCCCCCCCGGAGGTCGTTATACAGCCACGTGAGGATGAGGATGAAGACGCCCTCCTTCCAGACGTTCAGGGCGTAGTTCATCGCGAGTACCGCGGGGATGGCCACCAGCATGGCCTTGCGTGTCTGCTCGGGTGTGACTTTGCCCGCGGGGATCGGGCGCCAGGGCTTGTTCGCGTAGTCTTCGGCCACAGACTCGGGGCCGCGCTGGTTGGCCAGGTCGAAGATGAGGACGCTGTACCAGTTGAAGGCGACGATCAGAGGAAGGCGTTGCAGGACCGAGAGGGCCGTTGCGTGACCCGAGGTCAGTGGCAGCCCCGTGAGCCCGCCCAGAAGGCCAAAGGCCGTGTTGGGCACGACAAAGGTGAAGAAGTTGCTCTCGGTGAAGTCCCAGATTAAGCGAGGGATGCGGAGGAGAGCCGGGAGGTTGGACGAAGACCTGCAGCTCGAGTCCACGTCGTCTCCAAACGAGGACTGTTTGAGTATGAGGGGGGAGCGCTCCCCGGCATCTGTGCTCTGCATGATGGGCCGTCCAAATAGGTGAGAAATCTGGGGAACGATCCAACAAGTTCGGTTGACAGTCTCCTATGCATGAGAATCACTCCTCTGCCACACATCTCTCCCTCACTCACTCGAAGGGGCGCTCAAGGCCCTTAGATAAAGGTCAATCGAGGGTTATATGTTGCCGGCCCGAGGGGACTTGCACCGAACCCATACACCCCTCCGCTTCGGCCAGCGATGGGTAGCACATGCCCAAACGGCCGGATGCCTCCATCGCCAGATGTCCAATTGTCAGGCGGTACATCCCGAAAGTCGCAGTCTCGTCGACGTAGCTTCTCCGAGGTACCCGCACAGGAGGAGTCATGCTTGCTGCGACTTGTAGTGCAGGCAAACCACATATGCAATGCGCAGCAACCCCTGGACGATCACACGCCGGGCTCCATACGACTTCCCTTTGTTCGGTTCGCGATGTGCTGGGCTAGCGGTCTTTCAATATGCCTCTGGCAGCGATCCAAGGTGCAAGGAACCCCCTGAGAAGCGTTCTTGGGAGTGCGAGTTTCCAAGATAAGTGCGAGTACTATCCAGACGGATCGAATACAAAAAAGTCACGGGATACAACGCGGGAGTTCCACGGTTGGACTCGTTGCCCTTGTGGTGGAACAGATAAGAAACGCGACAAGGGCAACTCGACCATGGCCTGCGATCGCTCGCAGTGATGATGCAGGGAATACCACGTACGACGGGGGGCCGGGTCGAAGCAAGGAAATAATACAAGTATAACGTGAGCGCGACTCAGTTTCGAGCCCGAGTCCGAGACTGCTACGTCCCTCGGTTGTACGGAAATCGGGATTTGGAAACATCCTGAACAGATAACCGTGACATATTGGTACTTGGCCATGGACACCACTACTAGACTGGTGGGATTATCCTTCTCGCGGCATTCTCCGTGGGCACGGGGTGGCAAACACCTTTGTGATTGCCGCATCGTACACCCTCTCACGCAAGCGGCCACGCAACGGCCCTTGCACTATTGGTTTTTGTGTCGTAGTATAATTTAGATGTGACCATAGCTCCTCCTGCGGGCCTTGGATCCCCGGCGGAAAGGGTTGACATGTTCGCTTCGACTTGTTTGCCCAACTGTCTGCCCAACCGTCTTCGGAACTTTACCGGAGAAAGAGAGAGACGACTGACTATCCGAGGCACAGACAAAGGGTGGACCCGGCTGCGGTATTAGGTCTCTCTCCCCAAGTCCGTAGCCAGAACTCTCCACCTGGGATGCCCATGTCCACTCTCTCTCTCTCTATCTCTCTCGGGAGCCGGAACGGAGGCGAAGGGGAATGAGTAATTTCGGGCAAACAAGCCAACGTCAACCCCTTCTTCAACGATGGCCCCCGTATCTGCGTAAAACTCTCCTAGGAGAGAGAGCTCAAGCCTATCTGGAGTTGATTGCGTAAGAGATCGGGTCGTGGCTCCCGGAAGCTTGTTTGTGGTATACGACGGTACTACCTGCAGATCCCGAGAAAATCTGCGCCACGAATCACTTTAAGGGGAGGGGACGGAGAGGAGATTGACCACTCAATAGAATTTGATTGCCGAGTTAAGAAACTTGGAAAAATTAAATAAAAACAATGAAAGAATTCACCAGGAGAGAAGGGCACCGTCGAGAAAAATGCCTCCTATGGATTTACAAAAGTATGACAAAAGAAACCGTTCCAGAAGCAACGTGACTCATAAACACCGTAAACTACAACCCTGGCCGTGACTACCGCACTAGGCTCAAATCTGTGATCCTTCACGATGGTATGTCTCCGATGCAATGTTCTGGTGCACATAGATGCCCGGCTTGCTGTTGCGGGGTGGCTCGAATTCCGCGGAGAACTGACACCGGGTCGTGACGGCGCCGTTCTTTGCCAGCTCGGCGCGCTCGAGGTCATCGACGGAGGTGGTGTCATCGAGTTTGCCGTAGGCCCGACGGGGCGTGCGAGTGCTGTGGCCGCTGCTGGAGATGTCCTTCAGCTGCACCGATCCCTTGTTGCTCGAGGGGTTTGTCAGCTTCGAGACGGCGGGCTTGACGTATGTCTTGAAAAGGGGACCCAAGGTGGGCAGGCAGGCAATGACGATGCCGATCCACAGCTCGAGGAGGCTGACGAGGCCGATGTCGTGGAGGATGTAGACGAAGTCGGGGTCCCCGATCGTGGTGAGCGTGTTAACGAGACGCCAGATCATGATGGCGATGGTTCTGTCCGTGTTAGTCGGGCCCTAGGGACGGAAAAGGGGGTGAGGGCAGGCGACTTACGCAAGGCCCATGCCGAACATGGCGCTGACAGCAATCTTATTCTTCAGAGGCATCTGGAGGCCCCAGAGCATCGGCATAGGGAGGGCTGTCATGGCGACGTCGACGATGATGTTGATGGACACCGAGACGATCTGGTCGATGGTGATGTCGCGGCAGTGGCCGCCCGGGACGGGGTCCCATTGCTGGGACATGGGCACGCATCTGCTCATGAACAGGATGAGGAAGGCAACACCGTAGGCACCCACGACGCCCATTAGGATACGAGCCCAGCGCTTGAACTGGGCCGTGGAGAAGAGCCTCGTGTAGAGCCATAAGATGGCCATCTTGATGAAGACGGTTCCCAACAGCCAGGTCACGCCACTGGCGAGGATGAGCTGTGCGAGCAGCGGTTAGAGCATGGTTGGAGGTGGAGAAAGTTGGGAAAGGCTTACCTTGAACTGCACGGCATATTCTGCCAGATCCAACTCGCTCGTGTGTTTGCCTAGACCGTTGTAGATAGCCCAGATGACTACGCCTTCCAACGACACCAAGTTGGCCTGTCGCGAGTTAGACCCAGCCAACAACAAACAAGGAGAGGGGCGGGGCTGGTGACTTACAAAAGCAAACAAAATCATTCCATCATCCCAATAGAAGGGCCTCCTCATCAACTTGGCGGACCACACCCGCAGGCCCAGCATGACGGCATCTAGGGCGGTAAAGATGATGATAAGAATCAGGAGGCTGATGCCCCTCGGACCAGCACCAGACATGTCGAAGGATTTTTTAGATCGCGGAAGGATTCAGACCCAAGAATATGGACGGCGATGTGGTTGGTTCCGGAGGGGATGGAACAAGATCAGACGGTCAGATACATATGAGACCAACAACTCGCACTAGTGGCACGGACAGACACGCGGGATGCCGTTGATTCTTATGGAGGGGGAGCGGGACCGATGCTCAACGGCATCAAAAAGCCGCCGTGTGAAGGCCATCTAGACCACACGCACACACGCATGCCCAACAATCGAGGCGAAACATGGTCCGAGGCGTCTGTCACTCACATCACGCAGCACTCAAAACGAAGTGTGGGTGAAGGTATCCGTAAAGACGCCAAGATGCCGGTGGATGTGACCCCATTCTCCCTTATTCCCAGCCTCGGAGTTATAGCCAGGTAGGTATGTAATATGCGGTAGGCCGCACGCGTGTGCGCACACACTTACACACACACACACATACACATTGAGCCCGCCTGTCCATGGCGAGCCGGGTTCGGCCGGGTACGTTTGGCCATGGTTGCTTTGGCCGGAGAATACATCCCAACTTGCGTGCCATTAAGCCGTCAATAGTCTTCTTTTCTCCCTCACTCTGATATCTAATAGATGACAAGAGGAGGGTGAATACCTAGGTATGACATGGATCAGTAAGAGCTTCCTGCACTCGCATGACATTGCATCCGTCACCCCACCACACCCACCTGTCATTTGCATACATATCTACCTAGGCAGATCAGTTGGACGAACACACCCTTACACACACAGCCTTACTACAGTATGAAGCTAGGTAGAGCAAGGTCCGAACAAGAAAAAGAAAAGAAAAAAAAGGGGGGGGGGGCCAACCGGTTTGCGAGGGGAGTCCCATCGCTTCGCCCAGGGGAACCAACCATCCGTGTGGTGTTGCTGTGCCTGTGGACCGTGTGGATAGAAACCGACCATCTCCTAAATGATTTTTCCCCCTGCCCAGATGTGATCGGAACATGCATACCTGTGATCCAAACATCCTAGACCCTTGTTGCTTGCCCTTGTCCCACACGCGGACCGTCTAACCCTGCTCTTTCTCTTGCACGTAGCAGGGATCATGATGCTTCCCCAGTTTACTGACTTCGAGTCTTTTGCAAATCTAGGTAGTATTGTTACAAAGCATCTAGTTTAGTAGTATTTTACATAGTATCCGTAGCCGGTGTACGGAGTATTATATACTAAGGTATGTCTGTATGCTGCGGTTCCAGAGTGGAGTACCTGCAAGTTGATATGTTTCGCCATTATATATCATACCTGTACGTTGCTATGCGATCAGATACGCATTTATACCAGGTAGTTGTGGCCGTCTCTCATCCGTAAATCCGGTCATACAAAACCAGGCACATATATCCATACACATACACATATATATCCATACACATACATATATATATCCATACACATACATATATATATCCATACACATACACATATATATCCATACATACATTACCCCCGCACGTCAAGAGCACAAGTCCCACACATCCACGACGACCCGGGTGGGGTTTCTATCATGGCACCGCAGCACTGATGTGCAGCCCATGTGGCCCGACCTGCTCTAATCGTCAAACTCCCGATGGCCGCTATTGACCTTCTAGTTTGGTCTACGTAAGGGCCCTCACGCCTTTTCTTTGCCCGTCCGGCAATGGTGTCGTGATATTGCAGCACAACCTTGTAGCTTATGTCAAGCAAGCTTGCGGGCCTCGTTGGGCGGCCATGCAAGCCACCGCCATCCCTTCTTGTTAGTTTAGTTTCACCTAGGGTTCCCGACCCGTCCGTTCCTCCCGTAGCGTCGAGGAAGGGATGCCGCCGCGGTGTTGTAATCAGCAGTCATGCCATATGCTCCAGGCCACCTGCACCGTACCAACCGCAACCCAAAAGGCTGCTTCGTCAACCGGCTCGAGCCTTCGACTGTGGTGCTCGTTCGGGAGGGTGAGGGATAAAAGAACAACCCTCTTTCATGACAACAGTCATCCGGACCACTTCGAACCCCACGTCCTTCCTTGATCTAAACCACCTGAACTATCCACCACTAGTTCCTCTGCTTCGCTAAGTCTCCTCGCTGGACAGCCGTGTTGTATTTGCTACCTCTTCCTCCTCCTCCAACTCGCCTAGATAGTCTGGTTCCTACCTTGAGATACCTCCATAATCCGAAAGATGCAACCCCCTCTGCCCTCCGTCACACCCACCTGGCGCAACGACACCTACGATGCCATCTCACCCTCGCGCCCAGAGCTGAGCGCGGCAGGCAAGACCATCATCGTGGTTGGTGCGGTAAGTTCCATCTTGATGCCCCCTCCTTATGTCTCTCTTCTTTCCTCTCTTCTCTCATTATTACGACCCCACTGCCCTCCTCGTGGTATTCAGGGGATTGTGGCTCCGGTAAACAGGAGCTCCCCCGGAGAGACCTTTTCGCCCCCTTACAACTCCATCCTGTGTGCCGCGCGGTCTTTGAGTCTAATCCGAAATTTTCTCCAGGGAAGTGGAATCGGTCGAGAGACTGCCCTGGCCTTTGCCACTGCCGGAGCCTCCCGAGTCATTCTCCTCGGCCGAACCGAGGCCGCCGTAGCCCAGACGGCCGCGTCCCTGCCTACCTCGGTCCAGGGCGACGTGCACGCTGTGGACATCACGAACGAAGAGGCCTTGACTAAGGTGGCGGCGGCGGCGGGCCAGTGGGACGTCCTCGTCCTCACTGCCGGTTATGTGTCCAGCCCCTCGCCTGTGGCGGCATCGTCCAGCGACGAGTGGTGGCAGAGCTTCGAGGTGAGTCCCTTATGCCCTGCTCCGTACGGAACTTGCTCCGATCCATCGCTCTGGGAAGGGGAGCGAGACGGACACCTCCCCACCATCCAAGCCCTTCCCCAAGCAACTCGGCTCACGCAGCTTGTGGCAGACAAACACAAAGGGCACGTACCTCGTCACAAAGGCCTTCCTCCCCACGGCCAACCCCTCCCATGCCGCCGTCGTTGCCCTCACTACCGGCACGACGGCCCTACCGGCAGTGGCGCTCCCTGGCCTATCCGCCTACATGGCGTCCAAGCTGGCTCAGACAAAGATCATCGAGTTCCTCGCGGCCGAGAACCCCAACCTCTTCGCGGTCACCCTTCACCCGGGCATGGTCGAGACCGACATCTTCAAGAAGAGTGGTGCCAAGGCCGAGGCGCTCCCAATGGACAAAGGTGCGTCGTCGTCGCCATTCTCCTCCTCCTCCTCCCCTCTGACCAAGTCTCTCCCCTTCCCCTGCTATCGCAGTGCATCTTCCAGATGAAATCCCTTCGTCTCCTTCCTGTTGTAGCTGCTTGTGCGGGGCAAGCAAGATGACTGATTTGCTGACTAACGCACCTTGTGGCAGTGCAACTTCCAGCCCACTTCACGGTCTGGTTGACCAGCCCCGAGGCGGCGTTCCTGAGTGGCCGCACGGTTTGGGCGAACTGGGATGTTGAAGAGCTTAAACAAAGCGCCGGGGCAATCCAGTCCGGTCAGCTGCTGACTAGCGGGATCAACGGGTGGCCCTACACAAGTCTTGCGTGATGTTTTTATAGTGTCCGTACACTTGTTCGCAAAACTCGGACATATGTTTAGTGGTAGGAGTAAAGTACGAATCGTAGGGGGTAAAGTAAAGAACCTCATCACTCCATGGATCAGCGTTGTGGAGACATGCAGCACGAAGGAATAAACCACGTCCAGGTGTTCTAAAGTCGTATTACGAGTGAAGGTTATTCAACCCTTCGGCGGTTCAGTATCTAACTAGGCTATTATGCATGTGTATCTAAGTTCTACGCGTAACGTAATCAGCTCATCTCAATTCGAAACACAACGACAAGGGTCCCGGGTTCGATGTAAATTGGTCCTTGATTTCGTCAAACACGCGGTTTCCAGTCTCTCCTGGTGCCAGGCGGATGTGGTACTTCTTGACCAGCCTCGCGACAACGAACCTCATGGTGTCCGTGGCAAGGAAGCGTCCCAGGCAGCTGTGATGACCTAGTAACAAAGTAAAGAAAAACACGGCTTAGCTTGTTGAGTCATGAAGGGAAGCTAAAGGGGTTCACCGTACCTGTGCCGAACGGCGCAAAAGCTGCTGCATTGTGGATCATTTCCGGCTTCGTGGTCCATCTCTCGGGGATGAAGTCATTGGCCTTCTCAAAACAGTCCTCTCCTGCAGATCGAATAGTTAGTCGAGTTTTAAAAAAGACAAAAAAAAAAAAAAAACACCACCGCTACTTACTTCGAGATATCACGTGGCGCGGGGCGATGATAGTCGTATTGGGCGGTATAAAAGTCCCACCGATCGTCGCCCCGTTCTCCGTCGTCTTCCTGGCCCCGCCTGTGAGGAGGGCGGGGTACAGACGGAGACCCTCGTTGATGACAGCGTTGAGATGGGGGAGGCTGGTGAGGACCTTCAGGTTGGTCACGTCGACGTCTTCCAGTTCCGCGTAGATTTTGTCGGCATGCTCCGGGTGCTTGGCTATCTCGCAAAAGACGCCGATGAGAGCGGCAGCTGTCGGTTCGCTGTGTCGTTTTAGCTTCCGAACGCCCGGGGGGGAGAGAGAGGGAGGTAAGTAAATGTTACCTTCCAGCCACAATAGCAAGCAGGCTGTCGCCGAAGAGCCACGTCAGGCGATCAGGCTGCTCGGTCTGACCATGGTTGAGCTCCATCAGGTAATGGGCGAGATCCGGCGCGCCCGGCTTCGGGGTCGCAGCGTCAAGTCTAACACGCATCTGTCGCTCGCACCAGGCAACCATGTCAAACCAGTCCTTAAGGACGCCGACCCGCGGACCGAGCTTGAAGCCGACCTGGATCAACCATGGGGCCGGGCTGAACGGGCCCAGGAGAGACAGGGCGCGTTGCAGCCGCACAATGATGTGATGCCACTGCTGCTGGTGCAGCATGTCAAACGACTTGCTAAAGACAAAGTCGCCCATGACGTCGAAACCGAACCAGAAGAACAAGTCGCGAACTTCGGAAGGGACTTGGGCTTTGGCATTCGCCTCGATGCACTTGTCGAGCTCCTGAATCCACTTGAGAATCTTCGTCTCGTGCTGGACGAGGGCTATATAACGGCGTGGCTCGTTAGAGATGGGTTCGCAATGCCAAAGGATCCGCGGGTTGCATTACCTTGTGCCGAGAAACCATAGTTCCACTCACGGCGCCTGGCAGCGTGGATAGGCTTGACGCGTGTCGTGACGAGCGCTCTGTCGGGGTGCAGAATGTCGTACCACTCGGCCTTGATGCATTCGGATCGGGGGCCATCCACAGCCATAAAGACTCCCGGGTGGAAGACGGTGATCTCACTGGGTCCTATTTTGTTTTCATTCGTTAGAATGCGCCTCGAACAAAGAATCATGTGTCAGGCAACTTACCTGTCCTCACGAAATCCCCATATTGCTCATGCAAACTCTCCAAGACCAAGTGGTTCTTGCAGTTTCTGCAGGCCCAGATATGCCAGAGCTTCGTGACGCGGGCATACCACGGACCCTTGAAGCCGGCGGTGCTGAGCTGATGGAAAAAGACTCGGTATAAGGTGATGCTGGCAAAGAGGCCAGGGAGATATCCGGCAGACAGAATCAGCAGAGAACGAGAGAGCTCCCCGATGGCAGTGCCGCCGTAGTATCTGCTGAGACCTGCGAAAGAAGCAAAGAGCCACAAGTGACCCAACAGAATTTGAGGTGCCTGTACGTGCCATTCGCCATGGATGAAGATTCCTCGATGGACAGCAAAACCACACAGAAGTCCAAGGCCGCAGACGACGGCGTCCTGGCAACCGGAACCGAAAAGTACATTCATCATGGAGTTGATGGTGAATGCATATGCGTGTACTTGGGAGATTCGTTGAAGCTCAAATCCCACGGACTGGCGATCTGCGAGTCTATCACTCGGGCATAAGACTGCACGAGAGCTCGAAGTTGGTTCACATACGCCAGCTGTGTTATCACCGAACCCGGCATGGCTCTCCCTTCCATGACTGGGTCCAGTCTAGACTCACCACCTGGTGGCAACCTGAGAAAAGCCGAATGCCACATACAATGACTAGTGTCCATTGGTTGAAGTGTAAGCTAGCGTAATCTGGCACAGTCTGCAATGTCCATCACTTCACCACGGAAGGTCGTACTGATTGATCATTGATGTGAAATACAGACCAATATCGCAACGTGATATCCATGGGTCATCCCGATAGCCTTGACATCCGGATACCCCACCAGGCCCTCATCCGGTCATGCCCCCGGTCAGGGGTGCCCAGAAAGTGTGAGAGGGTCTACGTCCCAAAACGTTAGACCCCTGTTGCATAAAGACAGACATACGGATGCAACTCTGCAATGGAACGTGCTTCCAACGGTGCCAGAAATGGCTAGTTGGCGCAACATCATGTCTTTGCAATACGGTGATGCGGGGTGATGCTGGGAGCATCCTCGGTGCTATGGAAACTGAGTGTTGTGCCGCAATTGCACATGTCTCGAGATAGGGGTGCTTTGCCATGATTTAACACTGAAGGGAACTCCAACGTTCTCCTTTGCTTCCGTAGACTCACTTGCTTGCGTCACTCTATATCACATACTTCTTCTGAAATGGCTGCGACGTACGACTTTATCATTGTGGGCGGTGGCGTCGCCGGTTTGGTAGTGGCGACACGCCTGTCTGAAATCCCCGAGCTCCATGTTCTGGTTCTCGAGGCGGGTGAAGACCAAACTGCGGACCCTCGGGTCAATATCCCCGCACTGGGTCCCAGTCTTGTCAAGACGCCTTCCGACTGGCAATTCCGGACAGTGCCCCAGGTGAGTCTCTCTCGAAAACACGTAGTCTTAGCAAGTTCGGCTTGCTGACAGGAAGTCGTCTGCAGAAAGGTTTAGGTGGTCGAGAGGTTCTCGTTCCTCAGGGTCGCCTTCTTGGGGGCTCAGGTGCGCTCAATGGCCTCTCCTTCACAGTCACCACGAAGGCCAACGTTGAAGCTTGGGCCAGTCTGGGCAACCCCGGTTGGGACTGGCCTACCTTCAAACAGGCCTCCGAGAAGACTTACTCCGTCGCATCTGGCGAAGGAAAGGGTCCTCTCAAGTTGTCTCTTCCAGACAACGCAGAATCTCTCTGGCCAACCGTCTGGCAAGAAACCATCCGCGGGTTAGGGTTTGCGGACTCGTGTGATCCCTTGAGTGGCCAAGGAGTCGGCAGCAGCATCACGCCTGACACTGTAGACCCCGAGACAAAGCAGAGAAGCTATGCCGGTAGCACGTACCTCCAGTCTGCCAAGTCTCGGTCCAACTTGACTGTCGTGACGGGAGCGCTCGTGGAGAAGATCATCTTCAAGACAGACGCTGGAGACATTGTCGCCGAAGCTGTCCAGTACACCAAGGGTGGCGAAACGAAAACAGTGACGGCACGAAAGGAGGTCGTGTTGACTGCTGGCACGCTCAACTCGCCACGACTCCTCGAGCTTTCCGGTGTCGGCAATGCAGAGCTTCTCCGCGGACTCGGCATCGACGTTGTGCTTGACAATCCCCACGTTGGCGAGAACCTACAGAACCACGTCATGGTCGGCGCAAGCTTCGAGGCCCTCCCAGAACTCGACACCATGGATGGCCTCGTCCGCCAGGATCCGGCAGCCGTTGGAGCTGCTATGGAGACGTATGGCAAGGGCGCCGGAGGACCGTTCGCCAGAAGCGGTACTTCGGCGACGGCGCAGCTCCCTCTGCCGGCGGGTGAGGATTTGGGTCAGCTTCTCGACAAGCTGGATGGACCCAAGACATCGGCGACCCCGGCTTTCACGAAGGCTCTTGAGACGTATGTGCGGTCCGTCCTGACGTCGTCCTCAGAGCCTTCGGGATACTACCTCTCGTTCCCCGGGTTCGCCTTGTTCGGCGGAGATGGCCAGATGGCACCGCCGCCTCCCGGCGAAGAGAAGTACTTCACGATTGCTGTACTCCTCGCTCACCCCCTCTCGCGAGGTTCAAGTCACATCACGTCTGCATCGTTGGAATCGCCCGCCGTGGCCATCGACCCCGCCTATCTCTCACACCCTGTTGACGTCGAAGTTTTGGCCAGACATATCCAGCTCTTGGAAAAGATTGCGGCTAGTGAGCCGCTTCGCAGTCAGCTGAAGGCGGGAGGAAAGCGTAGCCCGGCCAATGCCTTGTCTGATCTCGAGCAAGCCAAGGAGTTTGTGCGCCAGACCGCAGTTGGCGCGCACCACTTTACGGGTACTTGCTCCATGATGCCTCGTGAACTTGGAGGAGTGGTCGATGAGAAGCTGCGCGTGCATGGTATCCGTGGCTTGCGGGTGGCTGACGCCTCCATTGTTCCCATCACGGTGCGTGCCAACCCGCAGGCGACGGTGTATGCGATTGGCGAACGTGCTGCCGAATTGATCAAGGAGAGTCTCTGAACAAGGTTCAAGATGGGAGAAGAATGTGTCCCCAGGACCGACATGGATGCGAGTCAAGGTAGCAACCGTAGATGACAATGAATGCAGTGTAACGGCCAGAAGCCAGATGAAACATAATCCTGTTCTTGTCAGTGCAAGTACCAGAGTCGGCAATCGAGCCTATCATTGGCAAAAATAGATTCCCAGCTGCGCGTCATTGACAAAAGAAATGATGATGATACTGTATAGAGGAAAAAGAAAGTGCATTGCTGGGGAAGTCGTACCTATTTGCGAGGTACCTCAAGATGTATGTCACCGCAGATCTGCTGACAAGCGGTAGGTAATTGGCAAGCGTCTGTGCCGTCTGTTTAGTGGCTGTGGACGCGGTTCATGGCGAGTTTAATGGGAAAAGTCGCGGTACCCGTTTTTTGCACCACAGCTAGCCGAACAACATGTATCGATACTTTACACGTGACTGCGAGCTCACCTCGCGTCCTCCTCCGCCCGGCCGCGTCGCTAACATTTTCGCGTCAAAATCGCCTCCAATCTTGATTGTCCACACTTGCACCTCGTCGCTTTCCACAAACAAACACTTCGACAGCTCACGAAATCTCGCCCCACGTATGCCTTAACATCGAACCCGAAGCCCACTGGCTCTACATCCCTCGATTGCATGCTTCAGACGCCTGCCATGTCTGACTCAAAGGGCTTATTCTCAGAATGCGCCTTCGCCTTCGTACCGAGCGTCCACTTGGCTCCCAAGGAGATCAGCGACCTAGCAGAAATCATAAAGGGCCGTGGCGGCACTGTCCTAGACCCGAGGCGCGATGGCTCACTCAGACTTGAGGCGGTTTCTCACATCGTTTCCAACACCATCGATTTCCCCCAGTTCACCGAAACACAAGCCTTCATGATCCCCGTCGTCAACCCCGGTTGGATCAAGGCATCGATCCAGAGGAATAAGCAGGCCCAAGTGCGGCCCTTCTCCCCCGATCCGCGCATGTTCTTCTCCAAAGTCATACTCACCTGCGCCGGTCTCCCTGTAATCGATAAGGAGACCATCATCGGTGCCACCTTGGCCATGGGCGGTACGGAAACCGCCGACGTCACCCGACAGACCACCCACATCTGCGCCTTGACCACGGATGATCCCAAGTGTGTCACCGCCATAGAAAAGGGACTCAAGTGCAAGATTGTTCTGCCTCACTGGTAGGTTTGGTCAACCCCAAGCTTCGGACTTCATGCCAGCTGACACTTCCTAGGTTCGAAGACTGCTTCAAGCTCGGCAAAAGAATCGACGAAGGCCCCTACACGCTCCCCGACCCCGAAATACTGCGTAGGTCTGAAACCCTGAGCGAGGTGCAAATCCCTCAGTACGACCATCTCCAGGGAGCGACCTCCACTACCCCCAATCACCTCACCGACGCCCCCCGAAGGGCGGCCACTATATTCCGAGACAAGAAAGTCATGCTTTCGTGGGACCTTAGTATCACCCCACGATCAGTAGAGGTTATTAAGCAGCTTATTGTGAACGGCGGAGGCAAAATCGTGGACGACGTGGAAGCGTGCGACTACTTCGTCTGCCAATACCGCGACGGCGAGCAGTATGTCAAAGCTGCCCAGTCAGGCAAGGATGTCGGAAATCTGTCGTGGCTCTACCACCTCATCACCCATAACGAATGGACGTCCCCTCTCCGTCGGCTCCTCCACTACCCGGTACCCCGAGACGGCATCCCAGGCTTCCGAGATCTCAAGATCTGCCTCTCCAACTACGGTGGTGATGCTCGCATATACCTGGAGAACTTGATAAGAGCATGCGGGGCGACGTACACCAAGACCATGAAGGCAGAGAACACACATCTCATCACGGCACGGAACAGCAGTGAGAAGTACGAGGCAGCCAAGGACTGGAACATCGAGACGGTCAACCACCTGTGGATCGAAGAAAGCTACGCCAAATGCGAGATGCAGAGGGTCACCGTGCCCAAATACTCTCACTTCCCGGTTCGCACGAATCTGGGCGAGGTTATCGGCCAGACCTTTTTCGACGAGTACTGTTTGCGAGAGACCTACTACCCCGGTGGCGAGGAGGGCATGTCGCCGCGAGCGCAGAGGAAGCGCAAGATCCTTGAGGCTGCACAGGAGAACTCGTACAACCACGGACCCGCAGAGGGCGTTGTCATCGGCAGACAGGAGCAGAAGGGTGAGGAGACTGTGATTGACGACAGCTTCATGACGCCCATCCGTCCCGGAAAAGGTGGTCGTGGTAAGGAGAACGATGATACCCCCTCGGTTGTTTCGACAGGCAGCCGAAGTGCAAAGAGCAAGGCTCTCAGCAACCTCCAGCGCATAGCCCCAGACATCGCTCTGTATGAAAAGGAAAAGAAGCGAACCAAGGACGGCCACGGCCCGTGGGGTGGCAAGCGTGCTGCCGACCAGATTGACAAGGAACGCGGACGCACGTCTAGCCCGGCGCAGGCCATGGATATCGATGACGAGGGCAAACGGCCCGCCAAGAAGAGAAGATCTTCGCGCCCAGACGTTGAGATGAGAGTCGTCTTGACTGGCTTCACGAGATGGGTCAACGGCAAATCCAAGGAGGACGCGGAAAGGGTAGGTCAAGCGGTCTTTCCGGGCATTCGTTTTCTGTGCTAACAACTCGCAGAGAAAACTCCGCGACATGGGAATCTTGATTGTGCAGGACAACCAGCCATGCGACTATCTCGCTGCCCCTCACATGGTACGGACGGTCAAGTTCCTCAAGACGCTGGCCAAGGGGCCGACGATTCTCTCATCCGACTTTATCGACGCCGCCCTTGACACGGGGGAGGTCCCGGATCCCGACAAGTTCCTCTTGGACGACAAGGAGAATGAGAAGAAGTTTGGCGTCACGATTGAGACGGCGGTGTCGAGGGCAAGAGCCAACCTGGGCAAGCTCCTGTGGACCGTTCCCATCTATTGCACAGCCAACATCTGCAACGGTCCCGAGAGTTACAAGGCCATCGCCGAGGCGAACGGGGCCATGTTCAAACTGTACCGCGCGCGCAGCGGCACGACGATCAAGCCGACGACGGAGGAGGAAGACGGCGGCGCCCCGCCCGAGCCCGTCTATCTCCTTAGTTCCAACAGCGCCGACGAGAGGTCCCTCTGGCCCAAGTTTGAGGAAATGGCGCGCAAGGGCCACATGGAGCCACGCATCGTCGCGGCCGACTGGCTCTTGGACGTGGCCATGACACAGCAGGTGTCGTTTGACGAGAAATACCTTGCCAAGAACTTTTTCGATAAGGACGTGTAGATGACTGATAATTGACAGGGCTGTTCCGCAGGCATCGCGACTTGCTGGTCCTGGCTGTACATGTATATACTTGCACGCGCTGGCTCGGGAGTTGGAGGATGCATTGGAAAAGGGAGGGAGGAGGGGAGGAGGGGAAGCAGCTGCAATTTTGGGGGGGCTTTTGGTGTTCATTACGGCCGCTCGGGAAATAATGTGTCAACGTGGTACGTCTAGTTAGAGGTTCGGCACAACAGCAAACAACAAAGGAAGACCATGGCTCGTCGGTTGCCGAGCGAGAACAAGTAAATCAAAAGAACTTGACACCCTGCGAGTCTTCTTGCCCGAAGATCTGGGCCTTGCCGCGCTTGACGAGGATCTGCAGCGCCTTGGCGAGCAAGTCGGGGTCGAGGCCGTGGAATTCTGCAGGGCAATAATAACCGGGTCAGCACGCCGTCGTCGTCGCTTCGCGGGTGCCGCGAGGGAAGGGGGTTGGTCACTTACCGGTCCCCCTGGTGCTCTCGCCCTCTGTCAGCTCGTAGAGGGTCAGGACGACGCCCTTCTGCGCCGTCTCGTCAATCCAGCCCTCAATGAAGGCGGCCCACTCGTCGGGGGTGCGCCAGTAGACCCAGAAGACGTCGGTGCCGGCGGGCAGGGCCTCGGCGCGGCCGTCCTTGCGCATGAACTCGAGGACCTCGCGGGCGTCGGCGAGCGACAGGCGCTTGTTCAGCGCCCTGTTGTGGAAGAGCTCCTCGGGGGCGGCGGCGGCAGAGGAGGCGGCGGTCGCGGGTGAGAAGGTGGTTGGCTGCTCGGCGAGCGCGGAGGGGGCGGCGGCGTTGTGGTTCGGCAGGGCGTGCGGGAGGGCGGAGGAGGCGGAGGGGATGGCGGCGCCGAGGGAGAGCTTGAAGATGCGGTGGTGGCGGCAGTAGGCGAGGATCAGGTCGGACCACTTGACGAGCTGGGCGTGGTGGGTTGTCAGGTTCGTTTGGCGGGTGAAGAAGGGCGGGAAGGAGTACTCCCGCGGGAAGGGAAAGGGTGATGCCGTCGCCATTTGTGCGTCGCAGTGGCGGTGGTTGTGTCGGTGTTCGTGGTATATTTTGGTATTGAGAGTTGTAGCTGGAGCTTCGGGGGATGGGGACGTCACTCTTCGCGGGGGTGGGAGTGCATGCACCCGAGTGTTTGGTGGGGCATTTTAGCATTTGGCTGCGGTGGTGGGGGGTGAAGAGTGGGGGGTCTAGACTCGGAGCCGGTGGCCAGAGTTCGTCTATATGTCTCTAGGAAGGTATCTTCTAGAGGCTTGGATCAACGAGATTTCCGCCACATGGTTCAACAATGATATTGTTTGCTTTTCTCAAAATGAATGACACCCCTGGCATGTCCCGCCATCATCAATTAACCTATACGTCCTGTTTGTGGATGACGCACTCTTAATCCAACGTTGTGTGACCTTGAGTGACGGATACGTACAGGGGAAGAAAGACAAAAAAAGGAAAACTCGCCATAACTTCTGAAAATTGTGGCCGTGTAGGATTCTTATCACTTGCATACTGTAAAAGACAACAGGTATCAGAGAACTCGACTATACCGAGTTGAATAACTCGGATGGCGTTATGCCTCCCAAACAGGATCACTTCAATGAAACACACCATTTGTGTATGCCCTCGGTGGCCATTAGAATCGCTACTATTCTCTACTTTTTGGATGTGTGTAAGAGCTCCATCGCAATCAACAACGAGAAATCAACGGGCACAGTGTGCGAACAACTTTTGGTGTCAGCTAGCCCAGACATATTGTTCTTCACCCCTTGGCAAAATATCCATCGTAACAATCTCTTCGAACAAACCGCGAACCCAGGGGTAATTGAGCTTCTTCAATCGGCACATCTCCCTCTGCAGCCTTGATTCTTGACCCTGCCACCAGTTTCATTGGCCAACACGAAACAGGAGACGGCACTAACTAAAGGCCACTTAGTTCCTATGACGCAGGCGCTTTGCCTGAACTTCCGGACTTGAGTCTGAGCTCGAACTCGAGCTGGAATCGTCAGTGAGCAGATGCTTGTGCCCATACTTGGAGGCCTGCGGTAGTCTTTTGGTCGGCATCAGACTAGGTTTCCGGGTACCAGGCGGAGACGGCTTAGACAGTGGTATAAGGTCAGCAGGAGTCAGTCTCGGCATCTGCAATGTGCCATGTCCCTTGGGGAGCAGCACAACACCCTGCCGGTCGTGCAGTAGGTCTACTGCGGTTTCCCTTGCGCGGCGGCCCTCTGCCAGAAGCTTGTTTCTCACAAAGCTCACCAGGTCAATTGGAGGAATGGCTGGCGGGGCGCCGCGTCGAACCAAGTGGTCGACCCAAGCAGCTAGAACCGCCCAGGCCTTCCATTTCATAGCTGTGTGCTCTTCGAGCAAGTACGAGTGCTTCGCCTGCTCAGCGAGCTGAGACTTGAAGAGTTTGACGTGGATTGAGGGGGGAGATTTGGTAGATTCGATCTGGACATTTAGGAGATGGCTCAGTCGATCGATATAAGGGTCGATGTGAATAGCGGTGTCCATCTTGGAAGGCAGAGAAACTTGCCAAGGGCCACAGCTGCCCAGCTGAGGCAGCTTCTTGATGCTCCCGGTCGAAGTCGTGTAGATCCAGTCCTCATGAGGCTTGTCGTCGAGCCTAGCTCGGGTCTCCTTGCAGAAGGGCGCGGCAACAGGATGGACCGGCCCAGTCATGGGCTTCATCGTCTTCATGGGGCTAACGGGTCTACGTCCGCCATGAATGTACTGGTCGGATTGCGACGGAGGAGTAGATAGCGGGATAGCCAAAAAGTCGAGAATCAGGTTGGGACCCGAACGTGATTCTGGCTGATGCCTGGAGACTGACTTTGTCTTGACGGCGAAAGACTGCAGCTTCGTGGTGGCAAGTTGACGAACTCCAGAGCTTCTAGTAGGAGGCAAGTTGGTTGTTGTTCCCGATCCGGAAGCCGAAGAGGGGGCAGGGAGTGAAGCATGAGCTTGACCTTGACAAGCCATGAGATTGGCCGAAACGGCCGAGGGGGCATTGGCAGAAGCGTTGCTGTGAACAGCCAGCCTGGCGGGGCGGGCAGTAGTCTGCTGCATTGGCAGGTTGGAAGAGGATCTCTGGTATCGTGGAGATATCCTCGAGGCTCCTACCGAAAGAGCGCAGCGCAGCTGGGAGGGTGATGGAGGGGTGAGAGCGGAAACCTCCTCCTCCGCTTTTACTTGGACATCTTGCTCTCCCCTGTCGATCGGAACGTCGGCTTCGTCAACCTTTACTGGGTTATCCGACTCTTCATTCTTGACTCGGACGTCCATAGTGCTTGTAGGACGGTCCATATGTGTTTCGGAGTGGGATATCTGCTACTTGTGGGTTAGTTCTTGATGGAACAGGAGATGGGCATGCAATGTGCATTGTCTCGTACTTCGGCAAACGTGATCTGCGTGTCTGAACCTTTGTGTGATGCCTCAAGAAGTATTAGACTGTAATACTGAACTTATCGGGATTGAATCTGTGATAAAGCTGAAGGAAGGCGCTATGGGATTTGTCGATGGTTTATGCTGGTGAATCGATGGCGCTGATCGTACGCGTTGCGTCAGACTTTTGCCATGTTTGCTCGAGGGACTGTTTGTGTATTTGTTGCTTGGAAACAAACGGATGTTCGCCTTTTGTTTTGAATTGTTTCGGGTTGTTTGGTTTACCGGGAAAGGGCATGGGATGTCAGACGGGCAGCGGAAGGAAGCTGCGGTGAGGAAGCTTCACAACATGAAAATGATGCCAAGACGTCATTCTTGGTCCTGTGGGATTTCTGGCAAGAAGATGACAGGGGGAGACACAGCAATGTGCAGAGAGTCAAGTCGGTTGAACTGTATCTTTATTTTTTAGGACTCAAACAGATCCACCGCATGCATCCTGCCTTTGTCTTTGTGAAGGTTCCAGGAACATGCTAGGTGATTTGTTTGTCCTCGGCTTTTCAACCCTCTCTAGCTCTTTAATAGGAAGTCAAGCAAGTACGAGCATAGAGAGTTCCCCCGTCAGTCTACTGACAAAAGAGATTAAAGAACCAAGTGCTGAGCCCACAGCTTCCTGAGACCATGAAAACCAAACTTTTGTTTCCTTTAACCTACCCGTCCTTAGATCCTCAGCCCTATGTATGCATGGGAGTGGTTCCCACCACTTTGATACCGGCTAGGAAGGAATCAAACCAGATGACCAAGACTACGATATTGCAATTCTAAAGCGAATGTACCACTCATTTGGCCCGTGTTCCCACCATCAATCGCCAGTATCCTTGATCCCGAAACCTTCCATGCCATCCACTTCCTTATGTTACCAGCAAGGACCTCCGCATAGGCCACTTGAACGGTGGTCGACAAAGGAAATTCCCTTCAGATGACAACGATTTCCATAAGGCGCATCTTGAAACTCGATCCTCGGAATAGACCGACAGTGGAGGAGACTCTGGAGAATAAATGCGATACTCGGGAATCCATATCTAAGGGGGCGAGTAGTTCTGCTTACCTTTGCTTTGCTTTGCTTAGCTTAGCTTTGGCTTAGGTTAAAGCGGCCACGGATCAGTCCCCACACTCCATGCGGATATAGGACGAAGTCCTTGGTGTGGGTGACTATCTAGATAGTTTAATACCTATCAGTAAGATGGAGAACTCACTTGCTAGTTAAAACCCTGAACGTGCCCCATCGCCCCATGCCCCCACCAAATGCACTTCGGAAGCGAGAAGAGACCCTTCCCCCGAACATCCGCCAGGAAACCAACCGCATCGTCGGCTCTCGCTCGCAGACAGATAGAACGAGAAACCGACATCCCAGCATGCGCCCCCGAACCCTGCCTGGGATATCTATCCTTCTCCCGAGGTCTTTCGCCCCGAGCAGCAGCGGCAGCATTAGCAGTAGCAGCAGGAGGCTGGCAAGCGTCAATGGCAATGCGACGTGTTGGCGGCGGCCCACATGGATGCCACCGGCGCCAGGGACCTGCCGGTGTCGCGTCCACGGCCGCGGAACAGCAGCTTTTGCTGGTCGCGCGCGGCAGCTTCCAAAACCCCTCAATTGTTCCTCCAATGGGCGCCGGCCGCCCGCTTCTGACATCATCCCGACCGCCGGAGCAAAGCTGGGCCCGCCGCCGCCGCCTCAGTCCGTTCGAAATTGGTCGCAGCCGACGACGCAGGGCCAGACCCCGGACGGGCACGGGCATAAACACGACAAGACTGGAGACGCGGAGGCGGACACCAACCCCCCACGAGCCATACCTCGTGATACTCGCCCGTCCCAAACCCACGGGACGACGTTGACCAGGCGTCCCCAGAAGACCTCTTGTCAACCTATCGGAGCTGTCAATGGCCAACCTCGGCGGACGATAGCATACTTAGCTAGGCAGTCAGTCATTCCATACACCATACACACACACACACACATATACACATATACACATACGGTGGGGGGGGGGGGGGGGGGGGGAAGAACAGCCGTTGCCCTACCTCTCCCCCTACCCCCCGGCACACGTGCTCCGTTGCAAATTCCATGCCTTTTTTTTCCACGATCCTGACCTGTCCCTGCTCATTGCCCCGCCACCTACTCTGGTTTCTGCTGGCATTTCCCATGGACGAATCAACATTGTCCCCCGCAGCCCCCCATCGTCGATTTGTTGTTCTCCGCGCGATACTCCCCCTCCACTGCTTTTCCAGTAAAGCCCCAATTCGACCTCTAGCTCTAGCCCTCGAATCCCATAACATACATCTCTTGCCATCTTGAACACTCCCTTCCCCTCCCTCTCTCTCTTCTTCTACTCACCACCTCCGGCCACAGAAATCCCCGAGGCGACCGAGACAACGGCGCAATGGCTGAGACAAGAGAACCCAAACGCCTACGCTGGGCCGCCGACCCGTCCGGACACCTTCCCGCCGGCATCACCAAGACTCAGGAGGAGCTCAAGGAGCACTGGTTCGTCGGCAGCATCGACCAGGGCACCACCTCGACGCGCTTCCTCCTCTTCAATGGCCTCGGTGACCCCGTCGCCATCCACCAGATCGAGATCGACAACCACTACCCGCACTCGGGGTGAGTCGATCCTCCCCCTTCTCTCGGTCCAGGGACGCGGTGAATCCTGGCAATCGGCCCCTCTAACACCCAGCCCAGATCGCACGAGCACGACCCCCTGGAGCTCCTCTCCTCCGTCGAGAAGTGCATCGAAAAGGCCACGGCCAAGTTTGTCGCCCAGGGCCATCCCATCTCCGCCATCCGCGGCATCGGCATCACAAACCAGCGCGAGACCACCGTCCTCTGGGACGCCCGCACAGGCGAGCCCCTCCACAATGCCATCGTCTGGTCCGACACCCGCACCACCCCGATCGTCCGCGAATTCCGCGCCCGCCCCGGCGCCGACAGGCTCCAGGGCCTCTGTGGCCTACCCCTCTCGACGTACCCCTCCAGCGTCAAGCTCCGCTGGCTCCTCGACAACGTCCCCGCCGTCCGTGAGGCCTACGACGCCGGCCACCTCGCCTTCGGCACCGTCGACTCGTGGCTCATCTACCGCCTCAACGGCGGCGCCGCCCTCGGCGACAAGGCCGTCCACGTCACCGACTCGACCAACGCCAGCCGCACAATGTTCATGAACCTCCGCACGCTGCAGTACGACGACGAGCTCCTCTCCTTCTTCGGCGTCGACAGGTCCAAGATCCGTCTCCCCAAGATCGCCCCCTCCTCCGACCCAACCGCCTTTGGCACCCTCGCCGGCGGCGTCCTCAAGGGTGTCCCCATCGCCGGCTGCATCAGCGACCAGTCCGCCGCCCTCGTCGGCCAGTGCGGCTTCTCCCCCGGCCAGGCCAAGAACACGTACGGCACCGGCTGCTTCCTGCTCTACAACGTCGGCGACGAGCCCGTCTTCTCAAAGTCCGGCCTCCTGGCGACCGTCGCCTACGACTTTGGCAAGAGTCGCAAGCCCGCGTACGCGCTCGAGGGCAGCGTCGCCGTCGCCGGCTCCGGCGTCAAGTTCCTGGTCAAGAACCTCTCCTTCGCCGACGACGCCTCGCGCATCTCCGAGCTGGCCGAGACGGTCCCCGATAACGGCGGCGTCGTCTTCGTGACGGCCTTTAGCGGCTTGTTCGCGCCGTACTGGATCGACGACGCCAAGGGCACGCTGTGTAAGTGGTCCCCCATCTTTCTCTCCCTCTCCCTCTCCCTCCCTCTCTCTGTCTCCCTCCCCACCCCCCTTTCTCTCTGGCTGTACGCTAACACCAACTACGCAGTCGGCATCACGGCGCACACCCAAAAGGGCCACATCGCCCGCGCGACCCTTGAGGCGACGTGCTACCAGACAAAAGCAATCCTCGACGCCATGACCAAGGACTCGGGCCACGCCCTCGAGTCCCTCGCCGTCGACGGCGGCCTCTCCAACTCGGACCTCTGCATGCAGACCCAGGCCGACGTCAGCGGCATCCGCGTCGACCGCCCCGGTATGCGCGAGACCACGGCCCTCGGCGCCGCCATTTCTGCCGGCCTCGCCCTCGGCGTCTGGGAAGAGCTCGGGGACCTCAAGCACGTCAACCAGAGCGGCCGCCAGATCTTCACGCCCTCGCTCGCCAAGGAGAAGGCGGACAAGATGTTCAAGAAGTGGGAGCAGGCCGTCGAGATGTCGAGGGGCTGGGTGAGCAACGATCTGGAATAGAGCAGCAGCCCCCTCCCCTTCCTTCCCCCGCTATGTGTATACAACCGAGTGTTGGAGTTCTGGAGTTATTGGGATACAGAAAAGAAAAGGAATACAAAGCAGAGCAATTGTTTTTCTTTTTTTGTCTTTCGGATGGATGTTGAGATGATATCCGTGGTGCTGGGTTTGGTTTAGACAAGGATACCTATTAAATCAGTTTCTCTTGCTCGTGCACACCTCGCACCTGTTCCACTCGGGAGCTAATGGTCTTGAGCCGCCCCCCAGCTTGAATCGCAAGATGCTCGCCTAGAGTGCGCATTTGTGTACCTGAGCACGACGGACCGTCACTGAATACACTGATGCGCAAACCGAATCCACAGGTATCGTATTTATTGTCATCTGTCTCGGGCAGGACCCAACAACTCGGGTCGCCCCTTGCTAGCGACATTCCCACGGGAGTATCCTTCAAACCGGGAGAGCCCTCGACCGACATTCCTTCTCAACTCGTAGCAAATGGGACAATCATCTTTCCCAGGAAAAAAAGAAGAAAAAAAACATGGCAAAGCAAAAATGCATTTTTTTGCGCTCGCCGAATGATCCCCCTTGCCGACGCCAGCCCAAAATGTGATTGTTTGGTTTCCGCCGCCCGTTTCTTTTTAA